TTCAGTCTTTGTTTGCCAGTTAAAAATGTGTAACAAATGCCCCACGTGGCTTCATGTCAAACTGTGCTGCCCTCTAGTGGAGATGCAACAGCTGAGTTTCACTTGGTCAGTCTGGGGTCAGGGTCAGAGTTAATTACACTCATATTGTATTTCAACCTTTAAGAACGTCTTTTTCGTTTACTAAACTGCCTATTTACACTAAAATTGTACCTTCTTTTAAAAAATATGTCAATTATATAGAACAAATTTATGGGGAAAAACAAAAAGAAAACACAAAACACGAGAATATGCAGTAGTGAAATGAAGCCTGTCCGTTAATAATATGGTTTATGAATGTAGATGTTATTTTTATTATTTGGATGGAGGACAAAAATGGTAATTTCAGCAGAATTACGTACACAAAACTACACCTGTTGAATTTATGGCCTTAAAAGTCTAGTCAGATTTCTCAGATTCACAGATAACTCATTTATAAAGCCACTTGGTCAAGTTATTACTCAAAAAACAAGCCTCAAGCTCCAAGTTATGTTCATATCAGCTGCAAACTCAGCAACTCCCTGTTTACCAAATAAAAGAATGAGATCATGTTCTGTGCTCGGCAGGGGGCGCTCTGTAGCACATAATTGGCGGGTGTAGGCCTTGTGTTACCGTCTCTGTCTATTGGCCATGCTCTTCTCTCCCCGGGTGCTTGTCTTTTTACAGCAAATCCATAAATCACCAAACTCGACCTCCCTCCATGATTTTAACCCCAGAGCGAGTCACGCAGCTCGTGTTTATCCGCTGTCAGCTGCGCTCACTCCCACAGCGGTGACCTCATCGGGCTCGGGCGCTTTTACTCTCCTTACTTTCCGTATTTATCAATCAGCATTCGTGTTTTAACGGTGAAAGAGGCAAAAGCGTTTTCCCGAGTCCTTTCGACGCTTTTGTTCGACTTTTAAAACCATATCACGCCTCCCCCGCCTCACCGAGACGCGGGGTTTTCTGTCATGACATACACAGTCTATAGTCTACAGGCTGGAGTCATTTCCAGCCCGAGTGTGTCTCGTTCTCTGCTTCTCTCCAGAGTCAGGAGGACTGAGAAACTGAGAGAATGAGAGACTGAGAGAAAGCATCCCCGTTTACATTTGTCAACACGAGCCGCCGTAATATCCACGCTCTGTGCAAACAGCAGATCTGTCGCTTGTGAAAACGGGGTTTCCTTGAGACATGCATTGAGCAGTTTGAGGAGTGAGTGTGTGTAATGTAAACCACTCAAAAGTCCATTTAGAGTCGTGACATTACACAGACTTTAATAAAGCCAATGGAAAGATGCCAGTGAAATGTTTTGTGGCGTTTGATCCGAGCTGAACCTCCGCGCAATGCGAACCTTTCCAACATTGCGTGGCCTGTTTTTTCCTCGAGGTGACGACTCCATTTTGAAGGGGCAGGGTACGCAGCCACCAGCGGCTTTGGCTCAAGGAAAAAATAGACTACATTTATGTCAGACTGGTCTTGACCCGAGAGTAACTATGGCCTGATCGCTGTTGACGCAGTAATTACGCACGGATCATTTGCTCGTGAGTTCTTATTTTTTGTGTGTGTTTAAGTGTTTAATTCTAATGTTTGTTGTGCAGTATGAAGTGTGTGTCCAAAGTCCGGCCCACGGGCCAAGTAGAACCAGTGGATTAAGGATAACGGCCCAAATTTGTTCTTAAAACTGCTGACTGCCCCAGTGCAGCTGTGGGTGTAGCATCACTGAGAGAAGAGAAATAAACACTCTGCCGGGAAGAAACTGTCCAAATGGAGCTGACCAGTGCCTCTTAATTTGTCTTTAAATTGGACATCACCCCAAACTGACTGTGGACGTCACCGCACACTGACTGTTGACGTCACCCCAAACTGACTGTGGACGTCACCGCACACTGACACATCAGACCACATGGAGGAATGTCATGCTCCACAATAAACTGGACCTAGAGCCAAATCTAGAGGCTGGCAACTCGTCACCATTTCCAAACCATAGAGCCATACTCTAACCCCCCACCTGGTCTGTACTGAACTGTACCATCCCCACCTGTACAGTACCACCTCCACCTGTACAGCACCGCCTCCACCTGTACAGTACCACCCCCACCTATACAGTACCGCCCCCACCTGTACAATACCGCCTCCACCTGGACAGTACCACCTCCACCTGTACAGTACCGCCCCCACCTGTACAATACCGCCTCCACCTGGACAGTACCGCCCCCACCTGTACAATACCGCCTCCACCTGGACAGTACCCCCCCCACCTGTACAGTACCGCCCCACCTGTACAATACCGCCTCCACCTGGACAGTACCCCCCCACCTGTACCCCCACCTGTACCGTACCGCCCCACCTGTACAATACCTCCACCTGTACAGTACCACCTGTACCGCCTCCACCTGGACAGTACCACAGTACACCTCCACCTGTACAATACCGCCTCCACCTGGACAGTACCACCTCCACCTGTACAGTACCGCCCCCACCTGTACAATACCGCCTCCACCTGGACAGTACCACCCCCACCTGAACAGCACCAGACAGGACTGCCACCACCTGTTCTACACCGAACTGTACCGTGCCCACCTGAACAGCAGCGCCTCCACCTGGTCTGTATTGGACAGTAAAGCCCAACCGGCACAGTACCACCCCTCGTACAGTACTGTTCAGTACCGCCACCAGCTGCACACAGTACCGCCCCCACCTGGACAGTACGGCCCCCCACCCTGACAGTACCATACAGTACCACCCCCCGTACCGTACAGTACTGCCCCCACCCGGACAGTACCAGCCCCGCCTGTGCAAATACTTTTAATATCAATACTGTTTATTTGTCATTATGTTGTTTAAAGTAACCTGAATGAGTTGACTTGTGTGAGGCTCATTCTGCTTCAGAACCATAAGACCAAATGCCAAAACACAAACAGCGGGATCGTGTTTCAGTTTTAATGTTTCACATTATATACACTTTATTGCTAACATGCACAGACAGGCCTATGTCAAGTTTAATAAGTTTAAAATTAAAATCTTATATACGCTCTCTTTAATGTCATTACCAAGGCTAATACATAAGTTAACCATTCCACTTTAGCCTAAACCACAGCTTCAGCGGAAAAGGCAATTTTTATGATCAGTTTTATAGGCACAGGTAGGGGGCGCTGTTCCATGGCGCGTATCGCGGCTGTGGGCCTTGCGCAGTCCTTTTCCTGTCAGCAACGATTCTATGTTAAATATTACCGTGTGTTCAAAGCCCATTTCCATCTGAGCCGCTTCAAAGTGAAACATAAACAGCGACACATCCGCGTGACCGAGGCTCGGTTCGGCCGCAGCTCCCTCTTTGTCACTCCTACGTTGTCCCATTCACATACGTGCATTGGTTCTTTAAACTCGTTTATTCTCGTCTCAAGACTGTGCATCTTTCGTGTTGTAGCGTATAGACAGACACACGCTGTCTCCCCGGTCCGTGTAGATCCTGTAGTTGATTTAAAGCATAAACCCAGCCTCTTGACTCTGTGTTCTGCTCACAATGTCACACCGAGATTGACTACGTTTACTGCGTTTGCCCCGTTAAACGAATCATAATTTACAAATTACTTGTGCGTCTTCTGTGACATTCGAGACTACTTCAGTGCATATGCTCAATGCCTGTTTATTATAAAGGACAGATAGAGTATAAAGTCATTTCTGCCCGATAAACACGCAGTGAACAGGGGAGTGAGAGGAGAGGCTGCTGCCTGCAGCTCTGTGTGCAGAGCAGAGGAAACCGCCTTTGACTGTCAAGGCTCAAACATAAAAACACACACACACTTTAAATGGCTCGTTCTGTCTCGTGAGCATTTACGCTCTGTCTAATTACTCATGGATCAGTCTACAGACTGGGGATGAAATGGGTTCGTCGCCTGGTGTCTGCTCTAAAGTTTGCAAAGCGAGCGTTTTTAACACTTTGTGGCCTGTGTTTTTTTCGAGGTTGGAGGACTCCATTTTGAAGGGATGGGTGGACCGTCACCAGCGGCTGTGGCACGAGAAAAAACAAAACACTCGTAAAACAGACATAAAACGTGTATCAGCGAATACACACTTGTCATTAGCGCAGTGTTGACCACACGGATTTTGTGGTTCAACTTTGACATTTCTGTCAGTTCAAAACTCAGCTATTAAAGCGTAATTACGCACATACGTGGGTGTGTATGTGCTACCATGTGCACAGTTGGTTTGTTAATTTAGATTTTAATAAGAAATCTGAAGTACCCTGGTCCAGAGGGGATTTTTTGGCCCCCGTGCCGCTGTGGACCGGGCTGGGGAGGGAGCTCTGGCGTGGAGTGACGCACTGTAATAAGCCATTCCACGGACCACGGGCAGTGACTTTAGAGACTAGAGCACTGAAGGGGGCAGAGAAGAGTTTCTTTTATTCTTTATAATAAGAGTGTACAGAGGGGTAGTGTTTAGGCCGCTGAGACGGGCTTTGGACTCAGGTTTAGCGCATGTCGAGGGCAGGAGAGGGAGGGGGCACAGAGGCACAGCGCGGGGAGGCGGGGGAGCGTTCACCGGATCAGGCCTAGCAGTAGCGCCGACTGGACTGTCTCCATCCGCTTTCAAAAAACTGGATTTAGACCCAGTCCGAGGCCAAAATGAGAGCGTCCGGGCTCGTGCTAGCGCTGGCCCACACCGGAATGGTAAGCTTCTCTCGTCGTTTCCCGCGCCATGTGGTGTTTTGGTGCGTAATTTTGGCTTTGTTTGATGCACGGCTCTGCGTCGTTTGCATTCAGAGAAAATACCCAAGGGCTCTGGTCTGCTGTCAGTCACAACGTGCCCTGAACCTGGACGTGTTCCGTGCTGTTAGCCTTTATGCATGTCCTATATATGAAGACACACATGTAGCCAACTGCTCCAACACGTGCACGCGCTTCTACACATGCACGCGCTGGTCCATTTTGCACACCGGCACACGGCTTTGACTTTCGCATTGTAAAGAATTGTGATGAGATTTCCTTTGGCAGAATGTAAGCACTTCTGTTGTTGAACTCGGACTCACTGCGCTCGATGCGATCTTTTATCTCGACGTTGGCTACCTGGCTCCACGCACATTTTCCCCTTTGCACGATGTTCACCACGGTAGCCTTGACCAGGTAGACAGAACGCTGTTTACGTTCTTACAGGAGGCTAAACGTGTTCGTAGCTATAAATGTGGCGGTGATTCCTTAACTTTGGAGCAGCCTTAGGACTTGGGGTTTGTTTCATGACACAGTTATAATGTATTTTCCACTGGAGCACACACAGCAGGGTCTTTAACCAGATGAATGTAGCCCGTCACTAATAGCAACATATTAAAGGTCCAATATTACGCGAAATTGACTCTTGTGAGCTTCAAGTCATGTTATAATGTCGTTTCCTCCTCAAAAACACACCTGGAGTTGAGTTTTGTTTCATTCACACATGTTTGAGTAACCTTTTATTATCAGTCTGTCTACATCTCCAAAGCTCAAAACGCTCTGTTGCACCTCGTGATGTCATGAAGTGGTAGCCGTTTTACCTTTTGTTTAGTAGAGACTGGAAATTACACGGATGAAAATGATCCAAATGTTGTTTAAAAACACAATGTTTTACCACATGACATCACAAGGTGGAACAAGGTGTTTTTTGTCTGTGAAAACCTAAATATGCAGGATTTGTGTGATAAAACGTGTGTGAATGAAACAAAACACAACTCCAGGTGTGTTTGTGATGAGGAAACAACATGATAACATAGATCAAATTATAGTTTAATACCGCACCTTTAAAGAACATGGTGTATTTATTAAACATATCTTACATCATGGACATATTGTGTTTATGAAAGAGACAACACTCGCACCAGATGTGATAACATTTCTTATCAGAAATGAAATTTTTATAAAATGCTCCAAAAAGTACAAACTGTGACCAGCAGGGGGAGTATAACTATTTTTGCAAAGTGTATCGTATTTTAGCGCAGTGTAGTGTTCTTTAAGGTGTGCTATCATTTACCTGGGATGTTCTGTATTAATATTCTTGTGTTTTATCGCTTAAAGAGCTCGTATGACGCTATATTCTGATATAAATTGTAATCATGTTTCCTCATCACAAACATACCTGGAGTTGTCAGATGAACAAAAGAGATAGGGCGCTTCACTGGGTCATTAAGAAGTTAAAAATAGCAGTACAGGTGCTCTACGAGGGTTAAACTTGTAATCCTAACAGAAACTTACCCTTACTGAAAAATGTAAAAGTGGGCAAAGTCCTTCATTTACATTTTTCAGTAAGGGTAGCTTTGTGTTAAGATACCCGGAGTTGTGTTTTGTTTCATTCGCACATATTTAGCACACCAAAACCCTAAATATTTAAGCTGAGTTCTTCTCTCTGAACTGAAAACACTCTGCTACACCTTGTGCTGTCGTGTTAATCCAAGAAGTGCTCCACTGTGTTTTCAAACTCCATTATTTACCTTATTATTTTATTTGGATATTTTATTTTTAATTTCAGACCTGGAATTGCCAATTTCTACTAAACAAAAGGTAAAAGTTGTAGCTGTTAACTTGAAAACTACCACTTCATGACATCACAAGGTGGAACAGAGCATTTTGAGCTTTGGAGATGTAGACTGATATTAAAAGATTACTCAAATGTGTGTGAATGAAACAAAACACGACTTCAGGTATGTTTTTGATGAGGAAACAACATTATAAAAGTCAATTTTGCGTAATATTGGACCTTTAGTGTTGTTGTTTTGGTTGCAGTACCACAAGTGGCCACAGGTGGAGTATTTTTGTTTTACGTTACATTTAATATTTCTGTCTTTCTCCGTTTCAGGATGAACCGACGCCAGAATGAGTGGGTCGTGCCCTCGCCGTGACCTCTCCGTCATGTCCGCCACCTCCTCCCTCAAACACACACGGGTCTATGGCTTCTCCAAGAGGGACCGCTCGCCTTCGCCTTCCCCCTCCCCGGCCACCTCCTCCTACAGCCCCCTCCGGAGACTGCAGCACCTAACCACCAGGGTCAACCAGCCAGAGACGCCCCAACCAACGCAAGAACCGGACCAAACCTGGGAGTGGTCCAGAAATAAGGAAACTAAAGCGGACAGTAAATGCAATTGGATTGATTGTCACAGCAGGAAATCGTCTAAAATCCACGATAAGGATGATTTTGGGTGCTCTTCTTCTGGATATAAGCAAAACGATACGCCAATCGGGACCAGTCAAAACAAAGACGGCTGCTTTTCAGGTCCTCCCAGCCCGGCGTTTTCTCTCGATAGCAATAGCCCCTTTGCTAACGGATTCCTACATTTTGAGTCTTCGCTATTTGAGGACGATGATGAGGACAGTAGCAATAAACCGCCAAACATCGAGGGAGAGAGAGACTTGGGGGACAATAGAGAAACTTTGACCCCTGCTCCGGACGTAAGTGATGTAAATAGAGAGTGTAACATGGAAGGGGGCGGGGCTGAGAGGTCGGCCAAGGTGGTGACGCGTTCGCAGTCCTCGGGTCAGCGTCGGAGATACTGGGACGGATCGGACGACGAGTGGGAAAGTGACACGGAGCTGTTCCTGTTCGCAGACAGTCCCCTCAGAAACGCACTGGTGAGTTTGGGCTTGACTCTCACAGTGAAATAAAAAGAGAGCTCATATTACGCTATTTTCTGATCTGTCATGATGTTGTTACCTCATCATCCAAATAACAACAACAGAGCGGTTGGCTGCTTTTGTGGCTACTTGGCACAGACACTGAGCAGCTTTTGAAACTCAGCCTAAATATGCAGGGTTTGTGGGTTAAACATGTGTGAATGAAACAAAACACAACTCCAGGTCTGTTTGTGATGAGGAAACAACATAATAACATAGATCAGGTTGTAGTTTGATACGGGACCTTTAAAGACATGGTGTATTTATTAAACATAACTTGTATCATGGACATTTTGTGTTTATGAAATAGACACAATCCAGGTGGAAGTGATCATGTTTCCAATCAAGGGAAATAAAAAAAAATGCTCCAAAAAATACAGACTGTGACCAGCAGGGGTAGTGTAACTATTTTAGCAAAGTGTATCGTATTTTATCAGAACATGGTGTTCTCCAAGACAGTGTTTCCCAAACTTTTTTTCTAGGGACCCATATTTTAAAAGTCACAAACCTTCGCGACCCAAGTCAATAAACATTATTCGTAAATCACAAAATAAAGGTGGATTTGATCATTATTGAACATTAATGAGGATATTTTATTGAGTGATCGTGTCTCTCTGAACAATTAGTTTTACTCAAGTTTTAAACATTAAAAAACTGTAATTGAGCCAGCAATAAAAGGATCCATAAGTTGCCTATTTGGACATTAAATGTAGCCCATTTATTTTTCTTTTCAGCATTCAATTGAACCAGCAAAAATGAAACAAAATAGTCAATAAAATAATTACAAAAAGATTAGAAATTATACAAAACATGTCTTAACATTTCAACATGTGTCAGAACTGTACATTGTAGACCTACATGCAGACCGTGACATGGTGAAACAAAAAAAAATCTCTTGCGACCCACCTGAGGGTCACAACCCAGTCTTTGGGAAACAATGCTTTAAGCTGTGCCCTCCTTTGCCTGGAATGTTCTATATTAATATTCTTGTGTTTTTATCGCTTAAAGGGCCCGTATTACACTATCTTCTGATATAAATTATAATCTTGTTTCTTCATCAGAAACAGGCTTGAGTTGTGTTTTGTTTCATTCACACCTGAGTTTTTCTCTCAAACTGAAAACACTCTGTTCCACCTTTTGATGTCACCTTCACTTGAAACATTTAGATTATTTCAGCCCCAGAATTTCCTCTCTCTACCGGACAAAAGGTAAAACTTAGCTGTTAACTTGAAAGGTATCGCTTCATGACATCACAAGGTGGAACACAGCATTTTGAGCTTTAAAGATGTACAATAGACAAACTAATAATAAAGGGCTACTTAGACATGTGTGAATGAAACAAAACACAACTCCACTTTTTGAGGAGGTAAGAACATTTTAGCATAGCTTAAATTTTGTGTAATGTAAGACCTTTAAAGGCATTCAGATCTTTTCACAACTGTAAGAGCATTGAGAGCAGTGTTTGCCGTCATGGTAATGCTAAAAACAACTAGCATGCTAACAACGCAGAGCATAAAACTGCTCTGATTAAATGTAGACAGCACCCCGCGGTCTCATTTTAAACCAGGGGTGGGCAATCATTTTTTCCATGGAGCCACGTGAGTAACAGAAAATACTGAGGCGGGCCGGACCAAAACGCTTAACTCACATTTGCATAATATTAATTGTATTTCTTTATAAAAGCAGTAAATAGCATTGTTTTGACAAGCTGGTGAGACTGGAAAGAGTTTATGTTATGACTGAACAATGAAAAAGTGAGGCTGCCTTACAAAAATGTAATTACAAACACCTCTGAAATAAAAGCAATGCAGCTCTAGTCCATGCATGAGCCTAAACGGGCCATTCAGTCAATCAAAGGAGCTGAAAAATGCCCAGGTCTGGTCATAAGAAATATTTTTACGATACAGCTGCACTGGGACAACGCAAATGTTACTTTATTACATTAAAATAAAATAAAAGCCCTTTAAAATAGTATTGCAAAAGTAGTCTGTTGGTGCTTGTGCTTTTAAAGCTACTGACCCAGCCCTGTTGTATTCTCACATATCACCACTAGAGGCTGTCTACATTACTGCTGTCTGAAAGTGTCAAGGTCAAAGTCAAGGTTTATTTATACAGCACATTTAAAAACAGACAGTGCTTGACCATATAGATAAAAACAGAATATTAGAATACATAAGTAAAAAATGAAAGTGTGGCAGCTTTGGCCTGTGTACTGTCCAGAATAGTCAGAGTAAACTGCAGTAAATCTGGTGAATCACTTAAATAAAAACTGTCTTTTCATCCTCAGAGCACTCAGAGTAAGTCACTGGCCCCGGTAAAGTACTTTGAAGGAGAGGTGGTCTGGGCGAAGCTGAGCAGACGCCCCTGGTGGCCATGTGAGGTCACTGCAGATCCCAGTCAAGGCTGTTACCACAAGGAGAAAGGTGAGTCTCAAATAACAATCAAAATCAAAAGCTTGGACGCACCATCTCATTCATGTTTTTTCTTTATTTTTACAACTTTCTACATTTTATATACACACAGAAGAAATTAAATATATGAAGTAAATGATATGGGATTATGTAGCAAAGATAAAAGGTAAATATCTACTAGGGATATAACAATAACTGAAATATCGTGATATCGTATCGTCAAAGTAAAGTTCTCACAATAATATCGTGGACCATCACAATATATCGAATTACAAGTCTGTTTGCTTAAATTAAGAGTTATGTTACAGCAATAGCTAAAAAAGACAGAGAGAACTACATATCTTGTGTAGACTACAAGAAGAAATAACAGTTCTAAACACTTTTAAGTCTTAGTTCTTTGGATTAAGTCTTGTTAAAGCTTTTTAAGAGGAAATAGTAGCATATTCAATTTTGTTAACCTCCAAAAAAATATTGCAATAAATATCGTACAGAGAGATTTGGATATTGTTACATCCCTAATCGTGAGCCTCCCCACCATATTGTGAGCTTTCCCACGATATTGCAGTAAATATCATACTGTGAGGTTCATACCGTGACAATATTGCATCGTGAGACTTGGATATCGTTACACCCCTAATATCCACATATTTTTTAATATAAAGTATATTCAAATCCTCAAAGTATCCACCTTTTGCATTGTCAAAAATAATATGTAGACCTATTAAAAAAAATTTTCTTCATTACATAATTCCATACATCTTACTTTACATGTTTCATTTCTTCAATTTGTATATAAAATGTAGAAAGTACTGAAAATAAAAAAACAAAACAGAACAAAAAAAAAAAACGAATGAATGAGAGGGTGGGCCCAAACTTTTGACTGTGTTTATTTATTTATGCCTGGTAATGCTTGTCTCTTGTTCAGATGTTCACTTAGTCTTGGGTATTTCGAGTATTTGTAGTATTTCTTGTATTTTCACTATATTGTGTATGTTTGTTCCAGAGCCCAGTGACCGTCCCTGCCGCCTGTACTATATTCGTACGTTCGGGGAGAACCCAGAGGAGTCGTGGCTTGAGGATAAATTCATCCACATTTTTCATGGAGGGTTTCAGTTCGAGCAGCTGCAGCGGAGCAAAGGGAAGCATAAAGACAAGAACAAGAAGAACACTGTAAGGACCATTACACAGGACACTATGGCTGTTTCTGTTTTATCAGTAGCTTAATTATCCTTAAAAATATACGCTATGCAAATCAGGGTGAATGTGGGCTCGAGCACAATAGGTCTGCGTTAAGGCGGTTTTAAAAAGCCCATGTTACGCTATTCTCTGATCTACTGTTTGTTATAATGTTGTTTCCTCATCACAAACACACCTGGAGTTATGTTTTGTTTCATTCACACATACCCATGTGTACCTGACAAATCATTGCTGAAACGGTTTTAACGTTCTGGAATCTTACGGGCAGGTAGTAATTAGACACAGACGGGTCAGTACTAAACCAGGACTAAACCAGGACTAATCTAGAGAGAGAGAGGGTCTGCAGAGCTCGGTGTCCACACTTATCTCCATGCGGCGCGTAGCTCTGCTCCTGTCCTTTCGCCTGTGGTCACTCAACAGACTACGCGGGCCACCTCCAGACCTGTCCTGACAATGAGTCCTGGTTCAGTTCTGGTTCAGTCCTGGTTTAGTCCTGGTACAGTTCTGGAATTAGTCCTGGGTTAGTCCTGGGTTAGTCTTTGTTTAGTCCTTGTTTAGTCCTGGGTTAGTCCTGGGTTAGTCCTTGTTTAGTCCTGTTTTAGTCCTAATTCAGTCCTGGTTTAGTCCTGGTACAGTCCTGGAATCTGTCCTGGTTTAGTCCCGGTTCAGTCCAAAAATGGATCCGTGCAGGACTCTCCCGGGCCGTACAGAAAGAATAAATAACTTACATTATTTCCATTATTCAATTATATTATTTATTATCCGAGTCTGAACAAAGTTTTATTTTGAAAAATGACCAAATACTCTCCATTATATCCGTCTATGACTCACTCTTAAGTCATGTAATGATGCGTGTCTCGGGCACGTGATACATTAACACTAATATTAAACCCACAAGCTGTGAAATTAGTAAAAGACAGATGTCTCTGGAAACGTTTATTATTATATTTTCAAAATACCACAGTTTTTGTGTTGGTCATATTGTTTTATTTTGTCGTATTTACCCTCCACACCTTAAAGGCCGAGCTGTGAAAATATTGTCTGACATTAAATTGGTCCGTGGTGCAAAAAAGATTGGGGAAGGTTGCTGATTTAGATGATAATTTATTTAGACTAAAGGTAAAAGGAGCTGTTAACTTGAAAACCACCACTTCATGACATCACGAAGTGGAACAAAGCATTTTGAGCTTTGGAGATGTGGACAGACTAATAATTAAGAGTTACTCAAACTTGTGTGAATGAAACAAAACACAACTCCAGGTCTGTTTCTGATGAGGAAACAACATTATAATATGACTTAAAAGTGCACTGTGTAACTTTTCTAGTGCTTTTCTCCATGATGATGTTGTTGTTGGCATTAAACCTTTCTACCTTCATGGAGACCAAACCAGACCAAGTTATAGGTCACAGTCAGAATGCCTGTTTTTCTAGGTATTTTTGAGCTGTAAAACCACCAGTAATTGAATAAATGTAAGGCAACGCTGTTATACTGTGGAACATTCCAGACAGAGCAATGGCATATTCATAAAAACAAGTAACAATAAAGGAATAAAGGGACATTACGACCTCTCGATTTAACTTGCGTGTCCATTTCAGATTGCCAAGCGCTTCCTGGACTCTTGGAGCTCTTCTGTTGCCGAGGCCGAAGCTCTCCTGGAGCAGAGATCCAACATGGCTTCCTCCTTCCTCTCCGCCCTCGATGACCTCCCTCCGCACAGGTCTCAGTCTCCAGAACTCGAAGCACTTCCTGCCTCTTCGGACCTTTTTCATACAGACACATCGCACCTGAACATGGGATCTATAACACCTCTGAGTGAATTCACTAACAAAACAAGCACTTTAACCAAGATTGCAGGAAAGAAAAAGTTAAAAAGTAAATTGAAAATAACAACAACGCCTAACTCTTTGGAACATGACAGTGGAGAATGTCCGTATTGTGATCTAGACTCTGTCCCTAAGATCCTCTGTCCGAAAGCACTTGAACGCCACGCAAAATCTAAAACTTCAATTTCCACAGACCCTCATATGTCCACGCAAGACAAAGAAGTGAAAATGCATCAAACCGAAGTCCACACCGGGCTTTGGTTCAGCAAATCTAGCAAAGATCGGCGTCCAAAAACATTACCAGATCGAACACTTTTTAGCAAAGTCTCGAAAAAGAAAAACTCCTCTTTTGTGGCCTCAAAAAAGATTGTCAGAGATTGTACTTTTTCCTCAAATTTATCTTTTGGTTTTGGTGAACAGGTAGACAAAACTAAACCAAATGAAAATGTCACTCTTGAACCACCAGTGCAGCTAAAAGAGAAACCCGAGGAGACTTTTGGTGCTAAGAAACACGTGGCAGACAGACTTGAAAGCTTTGTTGATAATACATCTTCAAGCAACACTAAAATGGACAAGTTTTTGAGTGAGAGTAGATTTTCAAGTGCTCATAACATAACAAACCCAATAAAAAAAGCTGCAAGTCAAGAAAAGCTCGTAATGGAGCCTAAAACAGAGCTACGCTTAGAAGTAAACACCAGTAGCAACAGCAACCCTGATATCTCTTTGTGTGTTACTAAGGATGTAGCAACGAGCTCAAGGACTAGCTTGGTTAATAAAACAAAAAGCAGTCAAAATAAGAATACAAAACAATCTGAGCAAAATATTGTCTCACCACTTCCAGAAGAAAATTTAATACCTGGAATCATTTTAGACAATTCAAATCCATTGATAAAACTGATGAAAGAGGCAGCGTTACTGTCAAAAAATAAAATTCCTTTTGTTAAATTAATACGCAAGAAGATTCCTGTCAATTCAGGGCAAAATTCTGTGGGAACTGTTGGCAAAGACGATCAATCAAAACCAATTAAAGATCTGCGTGGGTCAATCAGAGAATTGGAAACAAAAGCGAGCAAAATCAAGAAGGGGAAATATAAAAAGTATAAAGGCAAAAAACAAAAATGTGGACGCTCATCAAAAAAGAAAATGAAGGTTTTACTGCAAAATAATCAAGAGAATTCAGAAGAGTTGGTTAGCCAGAAAGAGACAAAGCGAACTTCTGCTGACGATGTTAAAGAAACTGTGGAGCAATGTTTGGAAAAGCGAAATTCTAAAAATGATGAAGTGAAGTCAGATGAAAATACAAGCAAATTAGACGCGAAAGAAATTAAAAAACGTGGCCGACCTCCAAAAACCAAACAACCGTTGCCAAAACTGACTCATTTGGGATCTACATTGAGATGCATTGAAAAGTTAAGTCGTCAAGAATTGCTCAATAGTTTGAAAGAAGCAGAGGCAAACGCGGTGAAAGTGGCTGATTCGGAAGTCAAAACAGAAAAGTCTAAAAAGCAAAAAGGTGGTCGCCCAGCTAAAAGCACTCCCGAAACATTGTCAAGTCCAGTTAAGCATTCGACAATGTTTGAAAGTTTTGATAGCCCAGAGAAAGACGCAAACAAGACAGATGAGACAAAAAGTGAAACTGCACTAGAAGCTAAATTAGCAAAACAAGCAAAGAAGTCTAAAAATTTTAAAGCAAGTCGGTCATCTAAAACTTCCTTGAAAAAGCAGTCAAAGGAAAGCAAAATTTCAATATCAGAAGATGTGGAGAACAGTGAGCACAACGATTTAAATGTAATGGACGACCAAGATGAGACCGACCAAGAATTTGACAAGTCTGTAGTTAAAAACCTTCCTAAAGATGGACGCCTTGCTCAAATTCCTTCAAAATCTTCGTCGCTTCAGGAGGAATGCGTTGAGGAACTTTGTCAAACTGATTTCAACAATAGCGACCACAGAGAAACGAAAACTTTAACTGACCTGAAAGCAGATTTAGTGAGGGAATCAAGAAATGTCCAAGCATCGAAGCATAAAGGACGTTCCGCTAAAATGCCTTTAAAATCACCATCGGAGAAAGACACACAGGAAACTGGTTGGGCAAGTGACCCAAATGAAATGAGGAAAAATCATGGAGAACCCGATCTCAGTGTTGAGTTATCTAAAAAATTTGAAAACTCACGGCGCTCTACGAAATTAGCATCATTGCAGAATCAAGTCATCCAGGTGTCAGCTTTGGAGAGTGTGAATAAATTATATCCAGTTGGTGACAAAGTAGATTCTAATTTGACAAAAGAGTCTAAAATAAAAGGTAAAAAGGCTAAAGATGCTAAAATTCCTTCAATTACAAATCGAGCTAGCCAGGCGTCAGTGCTGCCAAGTCTGACTGAAAGTGGCCAAAGTGAAATTGGCAATCACGCTTCAAAAAATATTGAAACTGCTGATGCTAACGCGACAAAAGAATCAGAAATGGCTAAAGACAGAGAGACTAAAGTGGGACGTCATGCTAAAATTACTTCCATGTCCACTCCAGTTTGCAAAGACTCGACAGAAAGACCGTATGATTCAAATGTTAGCGATTGTTGTGACGCGAGTAAAACCTCAAAACATGCAAATTCTAACTTTGACGAATCTGAATTCAAGTTGAAACAATCACTGATGGAGTTAAAAGTCAAAACCAGCACTGAAAAGCCTAAAACGAGAATTGATGACCAGTTAGAGAGCTACAACGTAAATAAAGTTCTTTTCCAGTCGAATACCAACCCAAGTGTTCCGAAAGTTCAAGAGAAACGCAATTTCAAAAAGTCGAAAAAGCTAAAAGATCGTTACGGTAGATTTACGTCACTACATCGCCTTTCCCAAGAATTAGCATCGCAGTATGACAGTGCAGTGGAGGCTACCAGCGCAAATATGCTCGAACTTAACATTGCAAAGTTGAGTTTAGAAGATTCAAGGGAAACGTCAGCAACTACTGCGACTGCTGAAATGAAAAACGCCAAGGTTCAAAATAACAGACAGGAGCAAGTTTTGATGGAAGTCAGTGAAACTGGCGACAACAATGGTACAAATCAGTTATCTGTAAGTAAACAAACAAAGCTAGATTCTGACAATTCTGAAAAAGAAAAGAAATTTGATCATTCCAAACAGCCTCTTGTTAAAAACCCTCCAAAAACTACCTTGTTAAATCAAAAAGGTGACGTACAAAGCGTAATTCAATTGAGCAGCCATGAAAACCGGAAAAAACCTACCAAGACACAAAACACAGATGTTAGTAAAGTTAACCATGAAGAATTGGAAGTTACCTCTGAATGTACAATGCCGATAGTAAAAAAACTGAAGGTTGGGGGCCTACCTAAAATGACCGTGGACTCGCATGTCTGCAAGGAAAGTTTTGAGGAAGAAAAAGCTAGACAAGAATTGACAAGAAGCTCAAAGATGTCAGATCCAATAGTTGCAAAAATAAACTTAAGAGATGCAGAAATTTCAGATTCAAAACATTCCCAGAAGCCAAATGTTGTACCGCTAAATCCAGCTTGTGTTGCCTCATTTGAAAGTAGTAAAAAGTTTAATAAGGACCAAGATATGTCAACAAAGAGTATAGAAATGACAAAAGACAATGTAAAGGATTTTAAATGTTTCCCAGACTCCAAACTCTCTCCTGTTAAAACGCTAAAAGCGTCTGGCCATGAAAAAACTATTCCAAAATCAGGTTTGAATCAGACTAGTCATAAAACATTGGAAAGAGTTGATCAGTTGAATTACCAAACATTCGGCAAAACATCGGAAAATAAAACCAATGTTAATTTAGAAACCTTGGAATCTCTTTCTAAACATTCAGTGGTCAAGAAAATTAAAGATGGCAGCTCTACTAAAATTGATGCATTTGCAAATGAATCTGTTCCACCTTTATGCGAAGTTGAAAAAATAACCCACCCTGAAATGAAAAAAATTACAGATTTACCAGAAGTTGACCAAGTAAAAATTTCAGACTCCGAAAGCGCCAGAACCTTTGTACAGAAAAGAAAAGTTGGTCGTCCATGCAAAATTGTAAAGGAATCAGTGCCCATTCCAGCAAACCACATTTCACCAACTAGAAAAATAGAAGACTTGATCCACCAGGAATCTTTACCAAACAATGAAATGAAAACACATGACAACAAGACAACTACAATTAATCTAGAAGAGGCCCGAATTGCGTTGGAAGCTATAAAAACGCCAAACATCCAGAAACGTAAAGTTGGACGTCCTGCCAAAATTGTAACCCCAATCACCCATTCTGTCCCACCTTTAGGAAATGACGGAAGACTGAAGGCCCTGGATGACTTGACTGTTAAAACCAAGAGGCGGGAAGATGTATCTTCAGTAAATTTAGAAGAAACTCACGTCGAAACTTCACAGGTTAAGTTAAAAGTAGGCGTTCCAACTTTAGACTCAAATCAAACTAATCATGAGACTACATTTGAGACAAACTCCAAGGCAGATGCTGGTATAACTACTGTAAAATCTTGTGCTGAGTCTAAAAATCCTCTGGTTAAAAAGTTCAAAGTTGGTTCTCCAAGTAAGACAACAGCTGAAGCTTATACAAATCAAGCTAAAGAGGTGTCTGTAACTGAACGAGGGATTACAAAAAATCATTTTGTAGATAATAAATGCGTGAAGGTTCTCAAAGCTAACGCAAACTTGGAAGTTACTGAAATTTTAGTCGATTCCAAACAAGCTTTATTTGATAAGTACAGAGTTGTCCAATATCCAAAAACTGAATTATTACCAAAACAAAGAAGCACAGGTTTTGAAGAAGAATGGCAAAAATATGTATCAAAAAATGTAAGGACACATGAAGATGCAATGATACACACAACTAAAGAAAATCAGGAAACCGCAGAAGTCCCACCCGACTGTTTGAAAGTCAACAAACAGAAAATGGCCCCTAAAATTTTGGCATCAGAAAATCAACCTAAGTCAGTTTCAACCGCAGAAACAACAGGTGAAGCAACATCAACACCCAAACTGGATGTTGTTATTGATAGAACCGACCAAAAGACACCTGAAACCCCATCTATCAAGGAAACAGCAAAAAAATTTAAAGGACGATCTGCGAAAATAGCATCACAAACAATGGTAGATCAAGACCGAAATGTGCCTGCGATTAAAAGTTTGGAGGAGTTAGTGAAACAACAAAATTCAAAAGATATCGAACCAACGCTGGATGGTACAATGTCATATTTCAGAAACGATTTTGTTGAAAGTGTACGTCAACAAAGGACTCACCAAAAAAGTCCACAGGTTCTAAACGAGGAGTATTTTGAGAAATCTTCACTTAGAAAAAACTTGACCGAAAAGGATTTTATGAAGTCCAGGGACCTCGACCAACAGGATGTAATCACTTTTGACGAATTGCAAGAGAAAATCACGGAACCTCCCCCAGCTCCAACCCCAATCCCAGAGTCTAATATTGAGCCACTTTTAAAGAAATTAAAGGTGAAAAAGTGCGTTATTAACCTGTCACAGTCAATGAAGGGGAAGATTAATAAGGATTTTACCTCTGAAAATACAGAAGTTAAACGAATCACAAATGCAGCAAATAATAATGAAGAGACAGTGCTGGATGCTAAAATGTCTGTGGACAGAGAAACACAACCAACTGAGAAAAGTGAAGTAGCAGATAATGAAAATGTCGAGAAAGATCAGAGTAAATCTTCAAATCAAAAGAATAAATGTAAAAGTTCGATAGGAAACGCTAGTCAGACGGTACCTGTGGACTCTGAACGGAAAACTGTTATAAATGCAAAAGAGTTGTCTAAATGCAAGGGTCCTAAAGGTATTGAAAATTCATGTGAAAATGAAAAATGCCGTAATAGAGTAGATCAAGACAGATTTGAAAATGATGTGCCAAGGACTTCGGATCTTGAGAGTTTTGAAAATTTTGAGAAGCATTTTACCGTGGATTCTTCAAGTCCTGAATGTACATTGGTAGATAAAAGCCAAAGTTTTGTTAAGAAATTGGACGCTAAAAACGTAAATAAAACTTTACCTGAGCAGCCTGCGCATCTCCCAGCAAGCAGTAGACTCATGACACGAGCTTTCGAAGCGATGGAAGATACCGAGCAAAAGAAAGAGGCGGAGAAATCTAAGAAACACTCAAATTCACAGAAAAAAACTGCCAAAGATGCGCAAAGCTCGTCATGGAAACCGGAAACGAACTTGGACTTCTGCAGCGACTTGGAGTCCGTTGAAAATTACTGCAACAATAGGTTTTCCAGCCCGAGCATGTCTCCGATCTCGTCAGCGTCTTCGGATGTGAACGATTTGGACGTTGAGGTTAAGAGTGAAGAAGAGGGAGTTTTGATTTCCTCGACTCCTCCGGTGGACTTCATACCTCTGACGTCAAAGGTTTCGACGAAAAAAGGATGAACAAGAGGCGCAGACGACAGCTCCGTTTTCGTTTATGACCGCATTGAAAAATGTGGATGAGCTGTCCTTTCAGTCCGTGAGCGAAAATAGCGATGGGAAGCCAGTAACATTCAAAGCAGACGCCAATTATAAGTTCAGCACTTTTCTCATGATGATAAAGGACCTGCATGATACTCGAGAGAAAGATGGGGCACCTTTGGAACTTGAAATAGGCCCTCCCAGCGCACATATTAAAAAAGAACCGATGATTATGCCAGAAGCTGAAATTATGAATCAAGAAACTAGAAACTTTGACAGCAAGGAAAGCCAATCTCCAAAGAAGCTGTACTTAAAGAAGACCAGTTCAATGTGGGTTAAGAAGAAGAGTAAAGGGGGCAGATGTGGGCCTGGCGTACCTGGGATAGAGTCTCCTGTTGGGGCAGAGGATGAAGTGGACAGGGGGGTGGTGGTGCATACATCGGAAAGGCATAAAACCTGGGAGTGTGTACAGAAAGAGGTGGAAGAGACAGGCCCGAAAGCGAATGGAGTGGTGGGAGAGAAAAGGACGAGTCTGATCATCAAAATCACAGGAGACAAGAGTCAAGAAGGTAAGAGCCAATCAGAGCAGAGCTTATTATATTTATATTTATATTTATTCTTCATCACAAACAGACCTGGAGTTGTGTTTTGTTTCATTCACAAATGTTTAACACACAAACCGTGCATATTTAGGCTGAGTTCAGAAACTACTCTGTTCTACTTTGTGATGGTCAACTATGTTTTTAAACTCCATACACCTTCATTAAAATAATTTGCATCAAGGTTCTTTTTTTGTTTATGACTGAACGAAATTTATTCCTTGAGATCCAGTGATCAAAAGAGATAGGATCAATTATAAATAATATAATAAACAATATTAAAAAGTACATTAAGAGCATTTATGATGATTTAAACCCTAGAATTGCCAGGGTAAACACTGCTTTTAACTTTAAAACTACCGCTTCATGACATAACAAGGTAGAAAAGAGCATTTTGAATGAAACAAAACATAAGTCTAGGTCTGTTTATGATGAAGTAACATGGCTTAAAGTTCACAAAAGTCAACTTTGTAATTTTGTCAATATAGGGCATTTAAAATACATATTGTTGAATTAAAAAAGCTTGAGCTTTGGTACATGGATCTTTCATTGTATCTTTTATTTTTCAGGACATAAACGGATTAGAAAGCCCAGTAAAAGGCTGATTGAATGGACTGAAGAGTATGACCAGATATTTTCATCCAGAAAGAAAAACAAGAAACTTCAGACAACGGACAAGGTAAAATCCCAAATAGAAAGTGAGCATGGGCGTGCTTCCGGCTTCATCAACTCTGGCTCCAATTCACTTTATATTAAAAAAGTGTCATTCCTGTCTCTGTAGTTGCTGCTGTCAGGGTCCTCATTTTGGTCTTAAATGTTCGAGTTAACCTCTACATTTATTTCACTATTTGGTCCGTAAATCAATTCCTATTCCTAATATGGAACTTGGCTCTAAATTCGTTCCTATAACTGCCAGACTTAATGAGCTTCATTTGACTGAACAGTTTAATGATGTCACACTCCCTTATCCACTTCTTTATACAATCTATGGGTAAAACAAAAGTGATATTACAAAACTATAGTGATATTTTGTGACTGACAAAGTATGATGGTCGTGGGCATGTTCTGCAAAATAAAATATTTTTGCTGATTTTTATTTGTTTCATTTTTTTTTTAAGGACCAAATATTATCAGCGTCGGAGCAGCCTCTGTCGCAAAATGTCTTTCCTGAAATGCAAACTCCGCCTCCCGAGGAACCCTCCAGAACCTCTCCATCTGAACTACAGAGCCCCTGCACGGAGAACTCCAGCTCCCAGAGTGCACCACTGATCTCCGTGGATACGCTGACCCCACCCCCTGAGACTGAGCCTGCACTGACGGAGACACCAGTGAAGGACTCAGGTGGGGAAAAATACCATTAATACAGTACATGATTGTAAGATAATGTCCTCTGCAAACAATGAAAGTTCTGATTTTGAAAGTATACGACTGGAAAACCCTGTAGTTGCACGCAGATCTGTGTTTTTTCCGTTCTGACATATAAAGAGGTTTCTGTGTCTTACTAATACTTCATGCTGGGGGTGTTCTGCCTGTATGCCTATGGGGGAATTTTTGGAAATTACCATGATGACACAATGCACATATTAGCAATAACTACCAAAAATGTTTGTAAAAAATACAAAACGGGTTTAAAGAACAGATTTTCAGGAGCATGTGATCAATACGAGCGCTTATGGTTTTGTTTTCGGAGTTTTAAACTGTAATTTTATTTTAGAGAGACTTGTTTAACATCATCATGTACTGTAGTTCCAACCAAGTCAGTTTTTTCTGATCAAATTGTGTTAAAATGAAGCCCATATATTTTGTCACTACATCCAAATCCTTTCTCATGTTACAATCTTTATCGACAGAAGGCAGTTCCGTTTTGGAGAAAAAGCGAAAGAGGAAACCCACTCAGAAAATCCTGGAGTATTGTTTGGAAGCAGAGGCCGCTCCATCGCTCAAGAAAAAGGTACAGCTAAATAAAATATACGTAACTTAATATAACTGGGAAGCTTTCCTATGCAATCTGCCGTATGTTTAAAAATGTAATGACCCAGTTCTTGCTTTTTGTTTTGTTTGTAAAGTTTTTTATTTCAATATTCTCTTGTTTCTGCCTGGAATGTTCCACAGTATGACATTAAACAGCTCTACCTTACGTGTATTCAACTACAGATGCTTTAATAGCTCAAAAATACCTATTTAAACAGACATTTTGACTGTGAGCGGCATCACCTCTCCACAGATCTGGCCTTTGACTTGGTCTGATTTGATCTCCATTCATTTTCTTGGATCTGCATGAACATAGAAAGGTTTATTGCCATACTGTGAAACACCCCAGACGAATCGAGAAAAGTATTTGATAGACCCTCCACCAGAAAAGTTACACAACGCACTTTTACGTATAATATATATTTATTTTCTTTATTTTTACAGGTTAAGGCAGTCAGGAATTACTTAAATCCACCTCCACAGTCTGGTAAGTCAGTTTCCAGAGGTTTTGATTGGAATATAAGAAGCAAATGTTTAGGGTCATGGTCAAAGTAAAATAGTGTACATACTTCTCCATTTATGGGCATTAATTTCACTTATTATTTCTTACATATTTAAATTTTGGAATTTAAAGGGCTCATTTTACACTATTTTGTGAGCTATATGTTATAATGTTGTTTCCTCATCACAAACAGACCTGGAGTTTTGTTTGTTTTGTTTCATTCACACAGGTTTAACACACAAACTGTGCAAATTTAGGCTGAGTTCTTTTCTTTTTTCTCTTTCATACGCCTTCACAAGAATCATTTGGATCATTTCAACCCTGGAATTGCTGATCTCTATTGAACTAAAGCTAAAAGGATGTGTTAACTTGAGCATTGTGAGCTTTGGACATGTAGACAGACTAATAATAAAGGGTTACTCAAACATGTGTGAATGTAACAAAACACAACTCCAGGTTTGTTTTTGATGAGGTAACAACATTATAACATGACTTAAATCTCACAAGAGTCAATTTTGTGTAATGTAGGGCATTTAAAATTAGAAGGGTATTTTCTGAAATCTTAATTAGAGCTTTTTCCCCCCGCAGATCCTCAATCTCTGAAGAAGTTGAAGCAGCTCATCATCTCCACTACCTGCCTATCTACATCGGAGTCAGCAGAGCCCCCTGCAGTTCAAACCAGTCCCACACCAGACCAGGACCAAGACTCTAGTCCTGGTTTAGACGCAGATTTAGAGGAACCTAAACCCGAAGAGGAAAATTCAGAAGATTTTGAACTTTCTCTGCCCCTCGATCCACAAAGTCAGGAGGAGCAGGAGGTGAGACATTGCTGTTTAAATTAACAGAGGAGGGACCAAGTCATTGTTTTGCAAGTGTCAAGTAAGTCTCTTTGACCTCAAGTACGAGTCAAGTCCCAAGTCAAACACAGGCAAGTCAAAGTCGAGTCTCGAGTCACTGGCTCATAATTCCAAGTCATGTCCAAGTCGTCTGTTTTGAGCTTCAAGTCATTTCAAGTCTTTAAACCAAATATAGCTTAGATTTTTGCAATTTACTTGAATTTAAACTAAATTGTACTTAAGAAGTCATGGTATATTTATATATGAGTATTTATATAAGAGTTTTTTTTTCCTTTTTAAATGTTTTGACAAGAACTTAGTGCGAATCATTACAGTCAGAACAGAAAGGATTAAGATTTAAAAATGCAGTTATTTTGTCATGTAGTCTGCACTGAAATGGAAGGATCATGTTCTTTGTAGTTCTCGCTGTTTTACTGTATTGTACTGTATATTACTGTAGTACATTTGAGCATCACAGTACTTCAGTTATAGCCAAAATAACAGAGAAGTGGGATGGACATGGTTTAGTTAATAACTGCATTTATCAACTGTAAAGAGGAAAATATTTTCTAAAAACATATATATTTTTTAGTAGACGCATCAAGTTTCTCAAGTCACAGGCCTAAAGTCCGAGTCAAGTCCCAAGTCACTGAGCTTCAAGTCCAAGTCGAGTCTCAAGTCTTAGTCTATTCTATCAAGTCAAGTCTCGAGTCCTAAAAATAGTGACTCAAGTCTGACTCAAGTCGAAATCACAACCTCTGTAAATTAATCTCCAAAATCTGACAGATACCAGCCTCTGTTCAATATTCACACATAGAAAAACAAAAACACACACATAAATGACTGGACTGAATGTAATTTATGACTGAAGCTGATGAAAGATCATCTTGGTCACAAAAAACTAAACAAAAAATAAAAATAAAACATATAGCAATAGTTACATGCCCAAGAAGGTGATAAAAAATAAAAATATTTCAGCTCACACTCACTTTTAACATGGAAAATAGACTTATTTTGTTTACAAAAATGAAAACAGAGCTATTATAGATTTAGTAATCATTTTATATTTTATAATATTTTAAAGTATAATGTAATTCTGTGTGATGGGACAGATGGACATGGGTCTGGACCAGAGTGACCTGCTCCTGGACGATGCTGCTTTAGCTCAAAGGAAAATCATCGGAGACAGAGGAGGACCTGCCTCTATGAAGGAGAACATCTGCCAGGTCAGAACTTTACCTATTATTAAAGGTCCTATATCACACAAAATTGACTCTTTAAAGCTTTAAAGGTGGACTATGTAACTTTTTGGTTGGGTGTCCGTCAGCTTCTTATTTCTATTCAATTACAGGTGGTTTTATAGCTCAAAAATACCTAGACTGTGAGCGGGGCCGCCTCTCCACAGATCTGACCTGTAACTTGCTCTGGTTTGGTCTCCATGAAGATAGAAAGGTTTAATGCCATACTGTGAAACATTCCGGACAAAGCAATAACATCTCCATGGAGAAAAGCATTTGAAAGCATAGAGACTCCACCAGAAAAGTTACAAAATATACCTTTCAGTCATGTTATAATCTTGTTACCTCCTCAAACACAGACCTGGAGTTGTGTTTTGCTTCATTCACACATGTATGATTAATCAAACATTATTAGTTTGTATGTATCATCAAAGCTCAAAATTCTCTGTTCCACCTTGTGATGGCATGAAGCTGTAGTGTTAAAGTTAACAGCTTCTTTTACTTTTAGTTCAGTAGAGATTGGAAATCCAGTGGTGAAATCATCCAAATGGTTCTAGTTTCTCTGGCCTTCCACTCCCCTATGACCGGCCCCCCAGCCCCTCTGCCCCTCACCACTTGAACTGGCCCTGTGAGGCAATCCTCAAAAGTTTTCATGGCCAGTTTTTTAAATTACTTTTTGGCAAATAATAACATATCTGAATCTTGTATTTTGTTTACTTTTTGAATTAAAAATATATTTATATAAAGTATTTATATAAAAATTATTATGACCTATTTTTACATTTGCCGCCAAATTTTCGCCACCTGACAAACTCGAGATCAAACAGTGACAGTCAAAGCACGTGCAGAGTTTTGTAGTGCAGTTAAAGACATTAAAATGACTCGTGTTAAAGTACGAAAACTTGACAGAGAGTGACGAGTTTTCAAAGAACAGTGGACGACCGATTATTTTTTTGTTCGGTGTAAGGACAGTGTAGTTTGTCAGATATGTAAAGAAAGTGTGGAGGTTTTCAAAGAATATAATCTGCGTCCTCAGGGTCAAACAATTCTGTTATACGACCGACCCGACCCCGACCCCCATCACAGTCAGGAGCGATAATGTGGTCCCCAGAGAAAAATGTTTGGTAACCCTCAGGAGAACTTCCTGCATTATAACATGACAGCTCAAAGTGGGCCAGAGTGATTTCTGTTTGAGAGAAGAACTCAGCCTAAATATTCAGGATTTGTGTGTTAAACATGTGTGAATGAAACAAAACACAACTCCAGGGCTGTTTGTGATGAGGAAACTACATTATCGATCAAAAAACAGTGTAATACGAACCATTTAAATACATGTAAATAAGTCTATCACAATAACTACATTAGTGACTTAACAGAGGGACAAAATCCTTTCAGTTAGTCCACATTTTCAGTAATTATATTGTGTTTTTGTGATGGCAGGTGTGTGAGAAGACCGGAGAGCTGCTGCTGTGTGAGGGTCAGTGTTGCGGGGCCTTCCATCTGCCTTGCATCTCTTTAGCTCAGGCTCCAAAGGGCAAGTTCATCTGCCCCGAGTGCAAATCAGGTACGAATACTGCAACTAATTTTATTTTATTGTATAATTTGTAACATACAACAAGCACACAGACATTAGACAGGACAGGACAATAAGTGCAATAACTTCAAAAATCATGTATCTGATGTATGTTTAAAAATCGTTTTGAGATCGAAAAATCCTGTAGTGTATCTGCATGCATACGGTGACGCAGAAGTGTGTGGAATTCGATTAGGTTTGCATGCCAGGCGGCTCGGTGGTGATGTATGTGACGTAAACGCATACGCGACGTGAGCAGATCTGACCAGAGTTTTGCATCTTGGGCAGTGTAAAAGGAAACGCTACGGCGGAACGTATTCAACTTTTCCACTCTGAAGGGTAGTTTCAGATTTTTGCGTTTTTATGTCCCTCAAAAACGCTGTCACCATTTAAACAAAAGGCTTTTCTGATAAAATATTTTGTTGTTTTTACCTGCAAGCGTTCTCCTGTAAAACACAAAATTAATACAGTGAGCGTATGGTTTAGTCACTTACTCAAAATAGGTTCAACATCTGTGAATTTGCTTTAATTTTGATATTTCATCACAAAGTTCAACGTAATCAATAGGGAAATCTCTCTCTTGTGCCCCAAGTTTTTTTGTTAATTTAGTTTATTTATCAGAGATGTACATAAAAACATTGGCCTACACAAAGAGGTAATATGCTTGTACCAAATAAAATCCATTAAATCAGTAAGTAAAACTAACCAAAACTAACCATTCAATCTCAGTCACTACATTCTTATGCTATTTACATATTTACAATTCGTGTCATACTCCCGTACATTTGGAATTATGGCATCGTCATTTTCTAGACTCTGAAAACCAGCGATTGATTAATTGATCATGATGTTGTGTTTTCCTCTGTCAGGTGTCCACACGTGTTTTGTGTGTAAGAAGCGCGGGGAGGACGTGCGGCGCTGTATGATTCCTGTTTGTGGAAAGTTTTATCACGGTGAATGTGTCACCGCCTTTGGCCCGACCGCCCCCACCGTCAACCGCGGCTTCAGGTGCTCCATCCATGCCTGCCTCACCTGCCACCTCACCAACCCCACCAGCAGCAACCTGTCCAAAGGTGAGACGCACACAGAAGCTTCTCAAATAGGCCTATTAGATTATCCTTAACTTACTTATTATTAGGGATGCACCATAGTCTGTATATCATATTTTCTGGGCTGTAAGTCACACTTTTTTTCATGGTTTGGGTATTTCCTGCGACTTATACTCCGGTGCGACTTATATATTAAAATTTTCACACTGATAGAGGGCGCTCTAGGCTTGTGTGTCAGTATCTGCTGCTCCTGTTACTCCTGTACCACGGTCACTTGGCTCTGCTCCTCATGTCTCCTGCAGAAAGAGCCGATGTCCTGTCTGTATCATATCAGTCAATCGCACCATTACTTCTGTACCACTGAAAAGAAAGTCATATTTTGCAGATTAAAAGCTAAAGTAGCGAAATATGCAGCCAAAAACGGTAATCGAGCAGCAGAAAGAAAGTTTGGAGTGAGCGAGAAACTTGTGACACAGTAAGGATGCACCATCCAACTTTCCTGGAGGTCAGTGGTTGGATCGACAAAGCCTGGACTTCAGTGACACCGAAACCATCCTGTCGGGATTCAGAAAGCCCGGAATAATTCTAACTGGAACTGATGCTGAGTCTGACGACAGCTAATAAATATGGTATATAAATGGACACAGGTTATCCACTTGTCATTGCATTCTAAACAGGAAATGAGCATGGGGCTCTTCCAGCTCCATCGACTCTGGATCCAATTTACTTTACATTAAAAAATTGTTGCCTCTCTCTCTGTATCTGCTGCAGTGAGCCTTGCCATTTTGGTCTTAAAATGTTCCTTTTAATTAGGTCAGCAATTACCTATTCATAATAAAATATTCTATCTTTTGGAGGATCAAAAGTATTGAAAATTGTTCCTATAAACATAAAACTGAAGCCCATGAATAGTCTTTCTCAAAAGACTAATCCAGTAAGTGCGCCTCCATGTTTTTAAAATCCAAGGAGAAAATGGTCCAGCTTCTGCCATTCAAATTACCTTTGATACTTGCAGCTGTTGCTTTAAACTTTTTTAAAACTCCTTTACTTTTGTAATTATTAAAATCACATTTTGAATTGTCTAGAATTAGCAAAGTCTTAGTAACATAATATTAAATTATCCCGTCTTATTGTGTATTAACCCACTAACGCTGTCGTTAAATCTTGTACAAACATGTTATGAAATTCACATTTCTTTTATTATTTTTAAGGTGGGGTCCATCACCTGCTCTACCTTACATTTATTTAACTACAGTTTGCAGGATTTATAGCTCAAAAATACCTAGGACAAAACAGAAAAACAGGCATTCTGACTGTGAGCGGGATCACCTATCCACAGATCTGACCTATAACTTGGTCTTTTTTGGTTTCCATGAAGATGGAAAGATTTAAAGCCATACTCTGAAACATTCTAGACAAAGCAGTAACATGGAGAAAAGCATTTGACGAACTGTCCTCTAGAAAAGTTACACAATGCACCTTTAAGGGATTCTGTTTTCAGTCTTCTCTCAAATGCTTGTCTTTCTGAACATGTTCAAAAAGTGAGACGTGAACTTTTTATGCCTGAAACATAAATTTCATATCTTATTGAAATCATCTGAAACATTGCAGTTAGATAACCCATGTTAGATATTACTTCTTTCCTGTTCTGTACTGGCTGACTGACTCTTTACTCCCTCTACAGGACGTTTGGTGCGCTGCGTCCGCTGTCCCGTTGCGTATCATGCCACTGACCTGTGCATGGCGGCCGGCTGCAGAGTCCTCTCCTCCAACAGCATCCTCTGCCCAAACCACTTCACCCCGAGGAAGGGAGTCAAGAACCACGAGCATGTCAATGTGAGCTGGTGCTTCGTCTGCACTGAAGGTAAAATCTGCTCCAAACAAACACAAACACTGTAAGAACGGCTGCTTCTCTGACCACAACTTTATACAGACCTCTAATATGGAGATGGAATAATAAAATACTATTGTTTGTCATTGTCATGGACTGTATAAAGATGTAGATTAAATTTAGAGTTAGGCTTAGACAAACTTAATTGATCTGTATTTGGGCACAGTTGCTCACACATCACAATTTAATATAATAATAAAGAGTAAAAAATGGTAATTATAAACTCTAATTAAGTAGCAAAAAAGATAGCAAGAGTCTGGTGTCAATTATATAAATGTATTTGTACAAGTCAAAATAAAATAGGAAAGTCATAAAAAAGCTATATACAAGAAGCGGGTGCTTAACAACACTGTCAATCAAACCTGTTGATTTAAAAACAAAATAGCAAACTAAAAACACTGGGATCATGTAGAGCAGGTTAATGAACATTTTAAGACCAAAATCAGGAGCCTGACAGTAGAGATCTGCGTGGGACTGAATTTTCAGGCCCGCTCCTGCAAAAAACTGTAATTTTCAGTCCTGCTCCCACCCGCATCTGCCATATTTTGTCCCACTCCCGCCCACAAATCCCGCAAGATGGGGACGTTCACTTTCTTAAGCTCTATAAAACACAGAGAAGCAGTAAGGAATTTTCTAAGTGTGTGTGAGATTAGACCACATCTGCAAATTTAGGCTGCTTAAAATGTTTTTATTAATGCCAAATAAAATATCCAACACAAATGATGCAAGATATGTTTATATTTGTCATTTGTCTATTTTCCTTTACACTCATATTTTGTTTGCAGGACTGCAGTTTATCATCCCACCTATTGTATAGTCCCGCTCCCGCCCACAATGAGCTTTCAAAATGTGTCCCACGCCGTACTGTTTTGCGTCAGGTCCCGTGGGCTCTACCTGACAGCAGCAGTTACAGAGAGTGGGGTGACAATAGAAAATCAATTGGAGCTAGAGTTGCTGGAGCGATTTACCTATTTGTATCTACAGACTATGGACAGTGTTCAGTTTTTTGTAGTAGTAAAGAAACATAAAGGTAGGGCTGTGCCACATAGTGATAAAAGCTGAATCCCCGTGACTATTGTCATTCATATTTTGATTATACTTTCATAATGTGATTCACTATTTCTGTATTTAAAGCAGCTCAAACACAGAGACTTTTTCTCTCTCCCTTCTCCTATTGGTCAGTCTCTATAATACTCTGGTTTAAATCCAGCTGTCACTCACTCAATCACATCAAAGTGTAAAAAAATAGTGTGATCAAAATTTATATTGTGATCTTGCTGCAATGAAACTGTGGAATATTGCCAAGTATATAATTCTGCCATATTGTGCCAACTGCCCTATGTAATTAAGGGTCTTGGATTTAGATAGCTTCTTTCACGGTTTGTAAATCAGGTTCCTCAGCTTTAAAAGAAACAATCAGATCAAACAATTATGGATTTTACTTTTACTTTCTTTGCAAATAATATAAGACAGCATCACTGTACAGATGTGCAGTTAAACATTTGCTTGAGTAACAGTTTCATTTGTCAAGTGCATAATCCTCATATCTCTGTGCTCCTCTGTCCTGGCCTGTAGGGGGCAGTCTGCTGTGCTGCGAGTCCTGCCCCGCTGCCTTCCACAGAGAGTGCCTGAACATCGAGATGCCCAAAGGTTCATGGTTCTGTAACGACTGTAAGTCCGGAAAGAAGCCACGAATCAAGGACATCCTCTGGGTCAAAGTGGGCCGCTACAGGTCAGTGTGTATTTGACACTTTGCAGTGATCATCACACTGAAGGGGGCCTGTATATATATGTATATAGTGGAATGTTCATCTGTTACCATGGTGACACGATTCACACATTAGCAAAATTCACAAAAAAAAAAGTCTGAAACAAAATAGATTTAATACATTTTCAGGAGCCTGTGACCAATACGAGGGTCCACGGTCCTGTGTAGGTATTTTTTCAACAAACAAACAATTTCATAATGTTCAATATTCACTTACTACTAAAAAAGTGGTGTTTCTCTGTAACTACTGCTCTCAGACTCATTATTCAGGCCTTAAATTAAAATTATTTCACAATTTTATCCATCCATAAATCAAGATGAACATTAATAATCGGTTCCTTCAGTCCAGGTTTTTTTTTTGTTTTTGTTTTTTTTTGTTTTTTAAAATCAGTTTAGCCATTATTTTATTTTAGGTTTAAAATGTGACTTTCTGGTTAGAAATCATGACATTACATTAGGAAATTCCTTAACTGTTACCTGGCATCCATACAGGCCAGGCCAAACTCCTCTAATGTCACAGAAATTAATATTTGATGAATAAAATCTGGCAAAATTATAGTAAAACACCTAATAATGCTTAACGTATCATAAAAATGTCTTTCTTGCATGTAAATCATGACAAACCTTTGGATAGAATTCTCCCAACAGTCTGATTTTTAGTTTTAGTTCGAACATAGCAATGAAGATGAAAAGTAGAAAATAAAACTCACACAAACCCCCCCCAAAAAAACTAAGCAATATATATACATTATCAATATCCACCTTATTCTGCCCACAAGTTGTTGTTTTTTTTGTGGCGGCAGTTCTAGTTAAATGGGGAACCTATTCATGTCAATGGAGAATTTGGGAAACATTTTGCATCTTAAACATGACATGAAGTCGGTTAATTTGTGTAAAATATTCAGTTTTCATGTGACCAATAAGAAAACTCTCTGGGGGGCTTTAAAACGGCTTTATCGACCATATTGAAGTTATTTATTTTCAAGATCGGCAGCCACACACAAAATAATACAACCATAATAGAACTCTCTAAAATCTTCACTTCATGTAATTTTCAACATATTTTTCAACTTTTCTTCCTAAATTGTGTAAAACTATTCTATAATTTATACTAACTATTATATTATCCCACCAAATAAAATCAAAATGTGAGAATCATCCACACTTTTCCTGCACACTTTAAACTCCCTCCCTCCTGTGTGTGCTGCCCCCTGCAGGTGGTGGCCGGCCGAGGTGAGTCACCCAAAGTCGATCCCAGAAAACATCCAGCGAATGAGGCACGACGTGGGCGAGTTCCCAGTGCATTTCTTTGGCTCCAACGATTATCTGTGGACGTACCAGGCTCGGGTCTTTCCTTATATGGACGTGGACGCCAACAGCAAAGAGAAGATGGGAAAAGGAGTCGATGCCACCTACAAGAAAGGTGAGAGTGCTGTAATGTTTTCAGTATGTTTTTTGGAATAATCTGTATTTCTCAAAATAAATTAAGGTGCTCTCTGAAAAACAAATAAATGTTTTCTTATTTTTGCTTGTTGCTATTTTAATGTATAGTAGTTTTAAATAATACAAAATTCGAGATTTGGTAGCCCCTTGATAACAATAATTTAAAGGTTTTGACAATTTAAGTCATGTTATAACGTTGTTACCTCCACAAAAACAAACCTGGAGTTGTGTTTTGTTTCATTCACACATGTTTGGGTAACACTTTATTATTAGTCTATACATCTCCAAAGCTCAAAATGCACCTCATGATGTCATGTAGGAGTAGTTTTCAGCTTCTTTCAGCTTTAGTTCAGTAGAGATTGAAGATTTCAGGGTTAAAATCATCCAAATGTTTGTATGAAGCTGTACAGGTAGGCAGTAGCTCAGTTGGTAGAGCGTTTGTGCACTGGTCTGAAGGTTGGCCATTCAAATCCTGCTCTTGACATAAACATTATTGGTTGAGCGGACAGATCCACTGACCCACAGATTGGCAGTGTGATCTCAGCTCCTGCAGTGAAGACACTTAACCCACTTCACACACACTGGTGAACGGGTGAGTGGTTCCTTGATGTAAAGTGCTTTGAGGCTTGAAGATGGAGAAGCGCTGTATAAAAATGTGACTATTTACCATATGGAGTTTAAAAACACAGTGACATTTCGTCTATTTTCTCTATTGCCACGTGACATAATAAGGTGGATTTCTGTGAGCGTTTTCCGTTCAACCTAAATATTCAGGGTATTCAAAACAAAACTCCAGCTATGTTTGTGACGAGGAAACAACATTATAACATAGATCATAAAATAGCATAAAAATAACCCTATTAATTCTGTATTACTACGATTTTATCCCATTGATTATACAATCCTAAATCTCATATATTCATAACCTGTCTTTATCTGTGTTCTCATCATGTCCTGTGACCTGCAGCCCTGGAGGAGGCAGCAGAGAGGTTCAGGGAGCTTCAGGCCGAGAAAGAGCTCAGACAGCTTCAGGAAGATCGGAAGAACGACAGAAAACCTCCACCTTATAAACACATCAAGGTACAACACCAAGACTAAACCAGGACTAAACTCAGAAGCCTAACCAGGACTTAACCAGAACTAAACCAGGACTTCATAATAATGCATTGAGTTTTTACAGCCCATATACGTCTAAAGCGCTCTACACTCTTCATCATTCACTCCATCCTCAGTGGTGGTAACCGATGCAGCCACAGTTGTCCTGGGGCAGACAGACAGAAGTGATCATGTAAATTTGTACCATTGGCTCCTCTGACAAATCACTCTTATACACACAACATTATATACTTAGCAAGCTGAGTGGTGTGTCCTGTCCAAGGACACAACAACAGTTCCACTGCAGCAGCTGATGTTCCCAGTGGTCAATCAGCAAAGAGTTGTGAAGCCATGACGTCAAACTCAAACGCCTTTTGTGGTACAGCACAACAGTAATTTTACTTTTACAAATTTTTTACTAATTTTACAGTATAATTTTACCTAAACATACATACTTATATCGTATATCGCCACAGGAATGAAATTACAATTTGATTTTTATAACCGTCTTGCCCAGCCCTCAGCGGCAGAAGTTAATGAAGTACAAAAATAAAAGTATAATACTTGAGTGCAATTTTTAGGTATCTGTACTTTACTTAAGTACATTTTACAGTGGATACTTTTTAGTTTTACTTCACAAGTTAAAAAGTAATTTTCTTTATGGTTTGAGACCTGCTGAAAAGACACATATAGCACATTTAATATGAGTTAACGTCCCAACCTTGAACAAGCCAAACACACAAAAACACAAAAACAGCTAGAAAATTTTAAAAAAATCAACTGAATCACTTAAAATCCACTAAACTCATTGTCAAAATCACAAATTTCATCTTTTCTTTGTCCTAAAAGTCTCTGCAAAATGCTTAAAATTTTTACTCTTAAGTACATTTTATCCAGGAACTTTAATGCTTTTACTTAAGTAGACTTTTTCATTAGATACTTTTACTTGAGTAATCCTTTGCCCCAGTATCTGTACTTAAGTAACAAAATTGAGTAGTCCATGCACCGCTGCCAGCCCTATGTCTAAGCACTAATCAGCCTCAGTTTTGTTTTGCCTTTTGAAATTATCTGGACTTCACAAGGTGATGTGACTGAGTTAGCATATTTAACCCCAGACGCTTAACACAGACTGAACCTGTCTCTGTCAGGTGAACCGGCCGATTGGGAAGGTGCAGATCTTCACTGCGGACCTGTCGGAGATCCCGCGCTGTAACTGTAAAGCCTCAGACGAGAGCCCGTGTGGGATGGACTCAGAGTGCATCAACCGCATGCTGCTGTATGAGTGCCACCCACAGGTACAACACAGAACTGCAACATCCTCTATTTCAACTTGTCAAACAAAGGATTAATACTTCATACATATTTTGAAGTCATAATTATGATTTTAAACGTTTTAATTTCATTTTTTGATAGTTTTGTGTACATTTCAACTCGAAGTAATAGTTTCTTGAGTTAAACAAAGTGATCTAGTAGCTCAAATAAAGCTCAAGGCCATTTTACAGGTAAAATTTTATCCTGTTTATGATTTTTTATTTATTTATTTTCAGTACTGATCCTAGAAATAAGTACATATTTGTGATACTAGTTTCAGTTTCAGTTAGTATTGGAGTGCCCTGTCATGTCACTATTTATTTATTTGCTTACTTAAAAGACCTATATTACATAAAATAGATTCTTGTGAGTTTTAAGCTGTACTATATTCTTGTTACCTCGTCAAAAACAGACCTGGAGTTGTGTTTTGTTTCTTTTACACACATTTGAGTAAGTCAGTCTCCAAAACTATTCCACTTTGTGATGTCATGTAGTGGTAGTTTTCAAGTTAACAGCTCCCTTTTACCTTTTGTTCAGTAGAGATTGGTAATTCCAGGGCTGTAATGATCCAGATAATTTAAGTGAAGGTGTTGGAAGTTTAAAAACACAGTGGAGCACTTCTTGTATTGCCACATGACATCACAAGGTCACAGACAGAAGAACTCAGCCTAAATATGCAGGGTTTGTGAATTAAACATGTGTGAATGAAACAAAACACAACTCACCAAGTCTGTTTGTGATGAGGAATCAACATTATAATAATACAGATCAGAAAACTGTGCAATTTATCTGCTTTGTCATTGTGTTCCTGAAAGTTTTTCTTGCTCGTGTTGTTCCAGGTTTGTCCAGCAGGAGAGAAGTGTCTGAACCAGGCCTTCACCAAACGGGAGTACAGCTCAGTGGAGATCTTCAGGACACTGTCTCGGGGCTGGGGTCTGCGCTGTAGCCACGACATCAAGAAGGTAAAGTTTAAGGACACACTGATGGTGGTGGTTCGATCTAGTCACAATGTCAAACTTAAGAATAATCACAATAATGGACTCCATGACCAAACAACAGTGAAATCCTTAATTCACTTTCATTCACAGTGTCTAAGGCTACACTCAGACTGTAGCCTGAAGTGACCCAAATCAGATTTTTATTCGCCCCTATGTGACCTGTATCTGATGTTTAATGACAGTCTGAACGACACAGATACGATTTTTTCAAATGCGACCCAGGCCACTTGGATATGCTCCTAAAACAGATACAAATCCGATCTTTTGACATGCAACTTCAGTCTGAACGGCCAGGTCACATTCATCCCACCTACACGTCAGGCTCAGTCTAGTCAATGGAGGGAAAGAGAGGTTAGCAAGTTTATTAATATTTGGGGGGATCGCTATATTCAGGCCAAATTGGAGGAGTGTTATCGGAGCCTTGCAGTTTTTGAAATGATTGCCAAAGAAATGTCCGGCTACAGGCAGTCCTGTCTCCAATGTCAACAAAAAATAAAGAGTTTGTGAGTCAAATACAACGAGGCTAAAGACTCAACCAAACAAATCGGCCGTGGACGTGAAACCGGTCCATTTTACGAAGAACTGAACCGTAGTTTGGGAGACTAGCTCAACGTTTAGCTGACTTCCATAAACACTGAGCACGTTCACTGCATGTGACGTCGTTGTGTCCTCTAATGCACATGTGGGACACTTTTGGGGCATTTAAAGTTCACACTGGAGATCACATACAAGTCACATTTAATTGGAAATGTGAACAACATCTCAAAAAAATCTGATTTCACAAAAAAATCCAAATTGAGCATTAAGCCCTGCAGTCTGAACGTAGTCTAGTAGATGAATACATTCAAAGCAATGTTATTTAGATTATGTCTTGTGCCACCGTGTAAAGCACTTTACATTGTGTTTTACATTTTTAATATAGATTAAAAATACCATACTATACTATATATACACATACTATACAGTCTTGTGGTTTGAATTCCCTTTAAAACATACTTTTGGACACCTTGGGATTCGTAATGTAAAATAATCAGTTTGAAAAATATACTTATAATATATAGTAAACTACACTGTTGAGGCATTTGAGCTTCAGTGAGCTCCCTCTGCTGTCAGCAACGGGAATGGACAGTCAGGAAGTAAACAAATTAAGTCCCTATCCGCTGTGAATGCTAATAGAGCCATGTGTTTGTTGTGAACACAATTTGACCACAGAATGAGTCTGGTGTTGGTGTTTGGGCTTAAAAACTTAACAGTAGCAGATGTCTGGAGTTCTATCCAGTTTATGACACAACTAAAATTCAGTCATTGATGAGTGCTCAGAGGAGACTTTGGATCAGTTGATTAATAAAGAATGTGAATGAAGCACGAAAAACAACTCGGGTTAACATGAATAAAGTTCATTTTCAGTCAGGCACCTGTTTTGTGCCAAACTGGTTTAATTGAAGCATCATTAGTGCAGACGGGTAGGAGTGTTACCTCAGCAGCATCACTCCTGATTGGCTCTTTGGTTGCTCTGATACTGGAATTCCAAATATGGAACTTGGCTCCAAATTCGCCCCTAAAACTGCAAGCCTCACTGAGCTTCATTTGACTGGACCTGAACACTATGGGTGACGTCACACTCACTCAGTCCACTGTATGTGTTTGGTGTTTGTGTGTGCAGGGTCAGTTTGTGAGCGAGTACGTGGGGGAGGTCATCGATGAAGAGGAGTGCAGATCCAGAATCAGAGATGCTCAAGAAAACGACATTGGAAACTTCTATATGCTCACTCTAGATAAGGTACTACTTTTTATAATATTACTCCTACTACTTCTACTACCACTAACCCCCTATTTACTAAGACTGGAAATGGGCACACGGTGTCAAAATAATCTTCTGATGCCCTTTCAAAATAGGTTCTCTAAAACCACTACAGTTGCGTAAACATGGAGCGTCACATCCAGGAGCTCGGGGGATGACTCGTGATGGACTACAGAAAGTTTACAGCCATGGAGGATAAATATAAAACACTTCATGACATCAGACAGTAACCTTACAAGAACAGCTTATGAATGAAAAAGCGTGTGGTGCAGACAACCAAAGTGAAACAACGAGGAGCTTCATTAATGCGAGCACCGCAGATACGGCTCGTTATCGCTGCAAAGCGTTGTCTCTCTTGTTGTCAACCTTTGTATTGTGATTTAAAACATAATTCATCCGATCAATTAATACGTAAACAGTGTAAATAATTTAGTGTTTAAATGTGAGAATACACAGAGGCTGGCATCACAGGAGGAGATCTGCTGCCTCTGGTGTAAATTGAAAGTTTTAAAAGTACACATTTATGCAGGTCTGCCTACATTATGTGCTGCTGATGCTCCTGATGCTCCTGGTCTAAATTCCGGGTATGCCTACTACTACTACGACTACTACGACTACTACGACTACTACTACTACTACAATAATTCTGGTGGTTCTGCCAATACAACTACTAATACTAATGCTGCTGTTAAAGAAGACCTGTAGTGCTTGAGCCTTCTCTATAGTTATATTGATCTAAAATGACTTCATAAAAGAAACAAGTCCTCTTATTTCTGCATGTATGCAGTGTCTGCATACACTGGTGTGTGAATGTGTGTGTGAATGGGTGAGTGGTTCCTTGTTGTAAAGCGCTTTGAGTGCCTTGAAGGTGGAAAAGCGCTATAGAAAAATGTGACCATTTACCATTTACCATTTCTACATTACAAAACTGCGGTGCCCAATGGGAACTGATGTCGCCGTAAATGTCATTACAGCCAAGATGTGGCATTTCCTGTGGATAACTGCATTTTTTTTTTCATTAGTACCAAAATGAGTACGTGTATCACAAATTAAGAAAATTAAATTGGAGAACGAAGTACTTATGTCACAGTGGGGGTTTGCTGGTGAAGCGGCAATATCGAAAACAAGCAAATAAAGATTGTTCATGCACAGATCACTCCAAATAAAACTTCGGGTGAGTAAATGGTGAGGGGAGAACGGCAACATGCTTAAAAGAAAATCAACTCTGAAAAGTCGATTTTACAGAACAGGTATGCTTCAAATTATGGTCAATTTGTATAGTATTGTTCTACTGTACTGGTATTTCGTTTGTGCATTAAAGGTGCATTGTGTAACTTTTCTAGTGGCATGTCCGACACCTGCTTGTTTCTATGGATACGTCATTGCTCTGGCTGGAATGTTCCACAGTATGACATTAAACATTTACCTTACATTTATGCAATTACAGGTGGTTTTATGGCTCAAAAATACCTAGAAAAACAGATATTCTGACTGTGAGCGGGGTCGCCTCTCCTCAGATCTGACCTGTAACTTGGTCTGGTTTGGTTTCCGTGAAGATAGAAAGGTTTAATGCCACACTGTGAAACATTCCAGAAAAGCAATAACATCTCCATGAAGTAAAGCATTTGACAGATCCTCCACCAGAAAACTTACACAATGCACCTTTACGAGTATATTCATGTTTTTCCGTGTTTTTGCTTGTTCATTCTTTTTTATTTTCATTTTTTTATTTTATTAGGATCGTATCATCGACGCAGGGCCGAAGGGAAATGAGGCGCGCTTCATGAACCACAGCTGTCGTCCAAACTGTGAGACTCAGAAGTGGACGGTGAGCGGAGACACCAGAGTGGGACTGTTCGCGCTGGAGGACATCCCCGCAGGTACGAAACAAGAAAACACAAATAACTGTAACATCGGCTGGACAGTTTGAGGAAAAATATGAAAAATAAAGATACTGTAATCGCAAATAGAATTACAATTTTATTTTTGTAGGGCCCTGTTTTCTGATCTATGTTATAATGTTATTTCCTCATCACAAACATACTTGGAGTTGTGTTTTTTGTTTTGTTTTATTTACACATGTTTAACCCACAAACCTGCATATTTAGGCAGAGTTTTTCTCTCAAACTAAAAACACTCAGTTCCACCTTGTGATGTCACATGGTAATACAGGAAGTGCGCCACTGTGTTTTTAAACTACATACACTTTCACTAGAATCATTTAGATAATTTCAGCCCTAGAATTGACAATTTCTACTGAACAAAAAGTAAAAGGAGCTGTTAACTTGAAAATTACCACTTGCTTTGTGATATCACAAGGTGGAACAGAGCATTTTGAGCTTTGGAGATGTAGACAGACTAATAATAAAGGATTACTCAAATGTGTGAATGAAACAAAACACAACTCCAGGTCTGTTTTTGAAGAGCTAACAACATTGTAACGTAGATCAGAAAATAGCATAATGTGAGTCCTTTAAACTAACTGAACTAGAATTGCCTTATTTTCTGTGGTATGATGAGAATAAGTGGCTGTACATAAATCCAAAAAGTGATGCATTGTTTTCACACCAATATATTTTGCTTGTTTCAGGTACAGAGTTGACCTTCAACTATAACCTGGAGTGTTTAGGAAACGGAAAAACAGTTTGTAAATGTGGAGCTCCAAACTGCAGCGGCTTCCTCGGAGTCAGACCAAAGGTAAAAACGACATGCATCTACAAAAAAATACACTTTCATTTTCATTTTTACATACATTAGTACAAATTTAAGCTATTTCATGCCTTTGAAGTTTTGCATTACAGTGAACCCTCGTTTATCGCGGGGGATACGTTCCAAAAATAACCCGCAATAGGTGAAATCTGCGAAGTAGTCAGCTTTATTTTTTACTGTGATTTTACAATGCAATACTGAACTGCAGAATGAAACAAAAAATAAAACCTCTTTTCAGGCCCAACATGTGTTAAAGAAATAGAAATATTAAAGTTTTCTTACAAATAACTATAATAGTTTAAAGAACGGTGTTGTAAAACAATATTTTTATATAGTAATGAATACAAGGTAGGAAACATTGTCACTCGCGTATTTCACAGTCCCTCCAGCTGCGCCTCTTCGTCCTGACTCCGTTGCGCTGTAGCGTCTTTTTCTACTGAAGGCTGCGCAGGGGTCTTTCTCCGAGAGAACATCGTTATGGGTAGTTGTTGGCACTCTTTCTTTTTCTGAGCAAGAAGATTTTTATAAACGGACATCCCACCTTCAATTATATTTGAGAACTGCAATGAACGACACATCAAAGGGTCCCATTCTTGTGCCGCGCGCTGAAGTTCAGTGGCCAAACCAATATAAACCTTTTTCACTTCTAGACAACAGTAACGCCCCTAAGCCAATCAGGATTCACTGTAAAAAATAAAGCACTGTAAAAAATTCCGCGAAGCAGCGAGGCCGCGATAGGTGAAGCGCGATATAGCGAGGGATCACTGTATATAAAAATTGGTGAACATAGTAGTAGCTAGTTCTCATTGTTTCACTTTTTTTTTTTTTTTTGGTAGAACAATCCTCCATCTTCCGAGGACAGAGGGCGCAAGTTTAAGCGTCGTGGTCGAAGGAAGAGCAGAGCTGTTCTGACTAAAGAACGGGAAGATGAGTGTTTCAGCTGCGGAGACGGAGGGCAGCTGGTCTCCTGCAAGAAACCTGGATGTCCAAAAGTCTATCACGCCGACTGTCTCCAGCTCACCAGGAGGCCGGCCGGTCAGTGAACGCAACACAGAGGAGCAGACAGGAGCAGAGATACAGGAGCAGAGCTAGAGGAGCAGAGCTAAAGGAGCAGAGCCAGAGGAGCCGACAGGAGCAGATGTTTTGTAGATATACTGTAGTTTGGATGTGCACAGAGGAGGAACAGTGAATATAGACCGGTCAAAAATTTTAGAACACCTTAATTTTTCCAGTTATTTATTGCAATTCAAGTCGTGCAGGTCCAATGAAGAGCTTGAAATAATATAAAGGTAAGAACTGAACAGCCAGAGGTTAAAAAAAGATAAAAGATACAAAACACAAGTCCAAGCTCTGCCAAAACTACCCCAGGAAAAAAGACCAAGATGGTAAAGCTTGAAAACATAAGAGTGTCCAGCGCAGTCTCCAGACTTAAACCCCATCAAGCCGGTTTGGGATGAATTGGACAGAAGAGTGAAAGCCAAACAACCTACAAGTGCCACACATTTATAGAAACTTCTGCAACAAACTTGGGAAGAACTTTCAGAAGAATATTTGATTTGTATTGTAGAAAAAACGAGCCACGAGTGTGTTCAGCTGTTATATCTGCCAAAGGTGGACACTTTGATGAATCAAAACTTCAGAATATGTTTTGGTCAACAGTAAACAGTAAAAAAACTGGAAAAAGTGTTGTGTTCTAAAACTTTTGACCGGTGGTGTAGTATAGAAAAATGCCAAGGTTTGAGCTGCAGGAAACCAGATTCCATTTTTAAGATGTTTAAAGATGCATTGTGTAACTTTTTCGGTGGAGGGCTGGTCAAGTGCTTTTCTCCATGGAGATGTTATTGCTTTGTCTGGAATGTTTCACAGTCTGGCATTAAACCTCTCTATCTTTATGAAGACCACAGTCAGAATGCCTGTTTTTTTTAAGTATTTTTAAGCTGCAAAATCACCTGTAATTTAATAAATGTAAGGTAGAGCTGTTTAATGTCATACTGTGGAACATTCCAGGCAGAGCAAAGCAGGTGACAGATTTGCAACCAAAAAGTTACAGAGTGGACCTTTAATTGTTAACGTTTTTTTTTTCTCTACAGGACGGTGGGAGTGTCCGCGGCATCAGTGCGACGTCTGCGGAAAGGAAGCGAAATCCTATTGCGAAATGTGCCCCAGTTCGTTTTGCGATCAGCATAAAGAGGGACTGCTTTTCAAATCCAAACTGGACGGAAAACTTTGCTGCACCGAACACGACCCCTGTGGCCCCAACCCTCTGGAACCGGGCGAAATCCGAGAGTACCAACCTACGGACAACCAATTCCAACCAACGGATAACAGCGGGATCACCTACGGACTCGGAATGGCGGTCATCCCTACCACCTCGTCCAGTACCACTAACGCCAACGCAGCTAGCACCTCCAGCAACGACGGGAATGCATCGCCTGCCTTTTCCATCCCAATCACGCTGGCCCCTAGTGGCTCGGAGAGGTCCTGCAGCAGCCCGCCTTGTTTTGAGCTGCCGCATTATTCGCCGATTTCGTCGTACGATGAGGACGACGAGGACGAAGAGGAGGGAGACGTGGCCGACGACGTGGAGCAGGATTTAGTCGAGCAGGGAGAGGAAAAATCTGACCCGGAAAGTCTGGAATATTTGGAAATAAAAGATGACGATTATGAAGATGATGATTAATTGGCGTGGCAGGAAGTCAGTTTTTGTTACAGCTATTTTTATACAGTAATTTAACAGAAATAAAGGGTCATGGCGTTGTTGTTTTACGTTGCACTTAGGGGTGGGCGATATTAACAAAAATGGAGATCTGTTTTTTTGTGGAATATTCAAACGATATTATGCCACTCAATCAGAAATGTGCTAAAATGTGCCTATGACTTGTGACTAGACTGTAAAATCAACTAGAAAAGTGAAGAAAAATCGCCACATACTCTTGTTTAAAGCTGCACTTTGTAGCATTTCTGTTAAGGGGGGGTCCACCTGCTTGTCTACATGAATTTTGCCTGAAATGTTCCACAGTACGGCATTACATTTACTGACTATATCTTACATTTAATCATTTTCAGATGTTTTTATAGCTCAAAAATACCTTGAAAACCATACATTCCTCATGTGATGTGATTGGGGTCGCCTCTCCACAGATCTGACCTGTAGCTTGTCCAAGTGACATCTCCATGGAGACAGAGAAGTGTAAAGTATATTGTGGAACATTCCAGGCAAAGCAGTAGCCGACCCTCTACCAGAAATGTTATTTAGAGCAGCTTAAAAAACACTTCAGATTTGTTGTATTTTTATTTCAATCAGCTATTTTTGCAGTTTTAACTTTTTTTTATATATATATTTGAGATAACTTATTCAATTTAATTTTTTTCTCCAAAGCAACAACTGTAATATTGTGCATTTTTCAACATATCTCCTACCTCTAAAACGCAGTTGACTCAGACTGTCATCTTTGATGATAGTAATGCTAAAACAGAAAAAAGATGTGTTTTGATTCAGTGAGAAATACTGCAGAAATGTACAGAAATGTGTTACACGGGTGGTTCCAATGACCTAAAAATCCCCAACAGTTCTATTGATACTTTGCAGTGAGATCATGCTGGGGGTGTTCAACATGTAACTCTATGGCTGAATGTGCAACAGACGAAACCATTTTAAGATGCAAAATGGATTTAAACAGCACATTTTCAGGAGCCTGTGAGTTTGGTTTTCAACAAAAGTTTGAGAGTAATTAACTGAACTTCCAATTTAGGCTACGTTCAGACTGCAGGGTTTAGTGCTCAATTCGGATTTTTTGCAAGGTCATTTACATTTCCAATTAAATGCGACTTGTATGTGATCTCCAGTGTGAACTTTAAATGGCCCAAAAGTGTCCCGCATGCCCATTGGAGGACACGATGACGTCACACATAACTCCCTAACCTCACTTTCCCTCCATTGACTGGAGTCAGAGCCTGACGTGTAGGTGGGATGAATGTGACCTGGCCGTTCAGACTGAAGTCGCATCTCAAAAGATCAGATATGTATCTGTTTTAGGACCACATATCAAAAAATTTGATAAAATTGTATCTGTTTCGTTCAGACTGTCATAAAAAGATCCGATACAGGAGCATAGGGGCAAAAAAATCAGATTTGGGTCACTTCAGGCTGCAGTCTGAACGTAGCCTTAGTCACTTCTTTCTGATCAGATTGTGTTAAAATAAATGAGATTAAAGTCCTCAGAGAGAGCAGTGCCTACAGTTCACACCCCCACCTGCAAAGTATCAATAAGAAGGATCAAGATGTTTAAATTATATTGTAATTTACAGTTGGAGAACTGCAGAAAAGAGTGGGGTCTTGGTCAAGAAAACCCCATAAACAAAGTAAAAAGTATGGGGGTGAATCTGGTCTCAAACTGGCCTAAAACAGGTCTGAAGAAGGACTAAAATGGGCCTAAAATAAGATTACACTATTATTTTAACAGCAGATTCACACAAATACGGTTACATACAAGATACTAAAGTCTATTGTTACACCTGTGTTATAAATGACCGATCTGAATGTACAGTTACATCGAATTCAGAACAAAATATGATGGATTTATAATAAAGCTATAAAGTCTATATACGATTACAGTAGTGACGAAGTAACATTTCAAAAACGGAGCCATTTCTTGCTTTAAAAAATGGCATTTACGTCTATATTTCACCGCAAATGTATGTAAAAATGACAGTATTTGTAAGACGGTAGGTCCTCCGATTTCTATAATGCAATAAAAGTTACACAGGTATTAGCAGATTATTATTTAAAGGTCTCATATTACACTATTTTCTGATTTGTTATAATGTTGTTTCCTCATTGCAAACATATCTGGAGTTGCATTTTGTTTCATCCACACTTGTTAAACTCACAAATTTAGGTGGAGTTCGTCTCTCTTCACCTTCACTAGAATCATTTGGATAATTTCAGACCTGGAATTGCTATTTTTTACAAAATTTTGTGTCAGTTTTGTGTAATATTGGACCTTTAAACAAGACATTGTGGAAAATCAACTTTTTAACTACATTACAATGGTTCCTCCTCTCCCTCATTTACAGAGTTGTAACTTGATTAAAGTAATCCTGAGTCTTTCTTTTTCTTCTAACCAGTCATGTGATTAGATTGTGATTCATGTTTTAACGATAGGATCCTGTTCAAAGTTAAAATTATAAACAAAAGACTGAAATATGAACTGAGAATAATGATATAAGAATGCAAATTAAGCCTGAATATTTTGTTATTTGTGGAGGAAACTTTGGTACTTCAAAAATTGCACTTACTATTGCGTCCATATTGCGATTTCGAGTTGATTGTGATTCATTTCGCATCCCTCGTCTTCACTCTGTCCTCGCAAATGTGTTTTTATCTTTATGGTCTTTTATCTTTACGCTATTTTCTGATTTATAATGTTGTTTCCTCATCACACACATTGAGTTGTGTTTTTGTTTCATTCACACAAACCTTCACTAGAATCATTTGGATCATTTCGGCGCTGGAATTTTCAATCTCTACTGAATAAAAAGTAAAACATAGCTGTTATTACTCGACATCCCAAGCTGGAAAAGAGCATTTTGAGCTTTGGAGATGCAGACAGACTAATAATAAAGTGTTACTCAAACGTGAATTAAACAAATCACAACTTTTTGACGAGGTAACAGCATTTTAACATTACTTACGGAGAATTTTAATACCATGACAATAACACATCAACTTTGGGAACGATTTGTACCCCTGCTCCACCTCTCTCCCTTACTAACAACAACAAAAGACTTTGTTATTCGCAAAACTTTTCCAAAAACGCCAAATACTAATTCACAAAACTTAATTGAATGTGTTTGAGGGAAGAATTATCAACCATGTCCTGGAGTTAAAGTGTGGATAAAAAGAGGATTTGGCTGCTAAAGACTGCCTTTGAGAGCAGCCGTTTTGGACCTGACCTCGATCCGGGACTTGTATTTTAACTATAGGAGTCTACCTGTACCTCGGATGGACTACGAGACTGAACTTTGAGGTTTTCCGGGAAGGATTTTGTTAGACTGTAAAATAGAAGCTCTGTGGACATTTGTAAGAAAAGTCTATGAAAATGTAACTGCTGAGATAGTTTGTCGAATTGTTGACGTGTTCATATTTAAAACTGTTCTGTGACGCACAATAAAATAATATGGATAGTCTAACTGAAGCCAATTTTGTCATAGTAAAAACATAAACAAAAATTATTATTATTATGGTTTCCACAAGACTGTTAACACACTAGTAAAAATAATCTGTGTATCATTCGTTCATTCGTTTTTCAAAATAAAACCAAAAATAAGAAAAAACAACTTTTTTTTCATTATTTGTCTCCAAAACTAGTGAAAAAACTGATAATGATTCGTTTTTTCAGTTTTCGATTTTGTGTTTAAATGAATAATGGAAAAAACAGATAACGGACATTTCCTGACTTAAACCAGGACTTAACCAATTCTAAACCGGGTTCTGTCCTGGTCTCAGTCCCGGTCTGGTCCCGATTTCCTGATAACCCAACAGTCTCCGTGGACCTCTGGTTCAATCCTGGTTTAGTCCTGGTTTAGGAGAGTGGGGACCGGACCAGGCCCAAAACTGAGACCGGGACTGATACTGAGACAAGATTAGGACTGAGACAGACCAGGACTGAGACGGAGACTGAGATCGGGATAAGATCAGGACTGAGACCAGGACTAGACTGGGACCAGACCAGGACCAGACCAGGACTGAGACCGGGACTGATACCGGGACTGAGATTGGGACCGAGACCAGGACTGAGATCAGGACTGAGACCAGGACCAGATCAGGACCAGACAAGGACTGAGACCGGGACCAGGACTGAGACCGGGACAGAGATCGGGACTGAGATCAGGACTGAGACCAGGACCAGACCAGGACCAGACCAGGATTGAGACCAGGACCAGAACAAACCTGAAACTGGTTTAGACCTGGTTTAATTCTGTTTTAGTCCTGATTCAGTCCTGGTTTAGTTCGTATGCGGCGCAAAAGTCCGGCATCTCAGTTTAAGTCACGGAAATGAGAAACGGTCATTATCTGTTTTTTTTCATTATTCAATTTAAACACAAAATCAAAAACTGAATAAACAACTCGTTATCCACTTTTTCATTTTGGATTTGGAGACAAATGATGAAGAAAATTATTTATTTTTTTTCGTTTTCTTATTTTTGGTTTTATTTTGAAAAACGAATGAACGAAGGATACGCAGATTAAAAACGATCTTGTGAATTTTTTTCCCTCATGTTTTTATGTTTGAATTGAAAAAATAGAGTAATGGCAAGTTAGATTTTTTGAGAATGTGTAGTCCCAAAAAGCAGAACTACAATGATATCAAAAATATTAAACAAAGTAAATAAAAATGATGAGACTAAAATGGGAAACTGACACACACAATATATTTATTATAGCCTTAATTATGTCAAAATCTCATATAACTCAAAAGATGATTCACTCTTTGAATTTTAAATGCTGTTGAATTTCTCACTTTTTTAACTCTGAAAAAACGTGTTTCAATTGTTTGTTTTCTGAATTTCAGTAGCTGAATTTTCAAAGTGTTAAAGCACACAAATTCAACAGTCAGAGTGTGAAAATTGCAGAAAAAAATCCAAGATGTCAAGGCAAAAGTGACTGTGAGTGAGAAGGACAGAGGCCGTTTCCTATTGGCTCTTCTCTTCTGTGGGTGGGGCTTATAGTTAAATTCAGACCAATCAGATCATTTCACCACAATATTTCACGGTAATTACTAAATTGGGATAGATTGCTTTTGCTAACATCACTTAATTTCATCCTTTAATTGTTCTACAAATCTCTGGAAAATACTTTTACTTTTTACTCTTTAAGTACTCATTAAGTATCTATAAACAGGTACTAATACTTTTACTTCAGTAGATTTTTTCATGTGAGTAAAAAAATTGAGTACTTCATCCATCTCTGTTCACATCAGGGGACTCGGATACGTCATGTTGTCTGTAATATTTCACAGTATGGCTTTAAACTAAGCTTTCTATCTTCATGGAGACCAAACCAGACCAAGTTACAGGTCAGATCTGTGGAGAGGCGACCCCACTCACAGTCAGAATGCCTGTTTGAGCCATAAAACCACCTGTAATAGAATAAATGTAAGGAAGAGCTGTTTTTTTTAATGTCATACTGTGGAACATTTCAGGCAGAGCAATGACATATTCATAGAAACAAGCAAAAAGTTACACACAGGTCACCTTTAAGTAGATTTTTCATGTGGTACTTTTACTTTTGAGCACTTAATCCACCACTGCTCATATCGGAGGACTTGGACTTCGATAGGTCAGGTTAATGGAATTTACAATAAAAACCTTACATATGGTTTCACTTTTGAAATTGTTTTAGCTAAGGTTGGCTGCTTTTATGGCTGCCTGGTTCACACATTGAGGATTTGGGATTTGAACCAACTAAGAAAGTGAAGCACGTGTACTTCAGAAGACACAAGTAAAGGACCGTTTGATTGAGTGAAATGAGCTGTTTTAGTTAAGGAGCTAACTATGGACATTTGAGATTCTACAAACTTTTTACACCATATGTGGCAGCAAATGTGGTAGAAGACCTTCCAGAGGAAATACTTTGAGGGAATGAACCATTTCAACACCAACAGAAACACCAGAGCAGAGTAAGAGTGAGGCCTTTGCTGTTGTGTTCATCTGGGGCCCCCTGGAGGCTGCCCTGATGCTGCAGGACAAAGAGGAGGGACATTTTTGGCTCTTCCTCTCCTCAAAATGCCCCGACACAGACCTGCTGGCCCTCCCTGACCAGACCTCCTGTTAAACTGCACTGAGACCTTTGACTGAGACACAAAGGGACTGAGATGAGCAGTGGAAATGTTTCTGCAGCAAAACTTAAATTTCCCTTAGGATCAATAAAGTATCTGTCTCTCACACTCAAGCTTTTGAGATTGGCTCCTGTGGCTCAGAGAATAGACTTTAAAGCGTCTCTGCTTGTGTACAAGTTTCTCCACTGCAGAGCAACAAAGTACATCTCTGACATGTTAATGCGAGTCAGAAGGAAAGAGGCTGTGTCCGATTGGCTGTTCTCTTCTGTGGGCGTGGTTTATAGTTAAGGAATCAAAGAGTGAAGTTTTAATTAGGCAAACTCTGACCAATCAGATCAGTTCTGACATGTTACCCTGAGTTCGATTATCTTCCGACTCCCACTTGGACCTCAAATTTGACGTCCGAGAGCGTGTAGCCTCACCACAACACCGACTACCACACCCACAGGCAGTGATATGGGCGTGGTAAGGTATTGCAGTAATACGAGTCACTGAAAGTCATTTAAACCACCGAAGTGTCCAAACACAATGGAAAAAGTTCATATTTAAATGTCACAGTGGGTGCACCTATCTTGGCTTCTGATTCGGAATCCTTGCTCGGTCTACTTTTTCTGCCACCGAGTTTGAGCAGTCCCAGGAAAAGGGGTGTGTCGCATGTCAGTAGGCAACATCCTCGGAAAACCAACTCAGAAGGATAATCGAACGCAGTGTCCGTGCCATATGAACCATCTCAAACTCTGAGGAGCTCAGGGAGCGGCCTCCTGCTGGTGCCCAGAGTCAAGAATAAACATGTGGCATCAGCATTTCAGTTTTCTGCAGCTAAAATCTGGAACGTCCTGAACATGTGAGACAGGCCTCTACTTTGACTCTGTTTAAATCAGGACTCAAAACAGTTCTGTTTAGCTGCGCATGACTGAAAGGTTTTCATTCTGCACTCTTCTGTCATTTAATGTCCCTCCCTCTTTTTTAATTTTATGATGATTATGTTTTGATTTGTTTGTGCTGTGATTTTAATGTATTTCTTATTCTGTAAAGCACTTTGTGTATGAATTGTTCTATACAAATGAACTTGCCTTGCATAGTTTGTGGTGGCGTCTTATTCAAACAACATAAATACAGTAGAGTTCCATTTGAGTTTAATTTGAACACATCTGAACATCGTCTCAGAAACTCAAACTGCAATACAACTTTGTGCTTCCAAATATATCAACAAATGGCACGTCAAACCTGCAACAGCAGCAGTGTCCCCATGGAAACACAATAAAAAAACCTAAAATAAATACAATAGTGAGAGAAAGGACAGTACCTGTAGATTTGAAAACTATATAAAACAATCTAAAAAGAACATTTCCTCTTTCAAAAATGTTAAAGCTGCATTAGGTAACTTTTTTAGTGGAGGGTCCGTCAAATGCTTTTCTCCATGGAAATGTTATTGCTTTGTCTGGGATGTTTCGCAGTGTGGCATTAAACCTTTCGAGATCAAACCAGACCAAATTACAGGTCAGATGTGTGGAAATGTGCCAGAATGTCTGTTTTTACAGGTATTTTTGAGCTGTAAAACTACTTGTAATTGAATAAATGTAGAGTAGAGCTGTTTAAAGTCAGATTCGTGGAGAGGAGACGGTATGCATCACAGACTGTATAAAGAAGTGGACTAAGGGAGTGTGACGTTCTGCTCCAGTCAAATGAAGCTCATCAAGGCTGGATTCCTGATCTTGAGTATTATAGCAACTAACGAGCCAATCAGGAGTGAGGTGAGTGTTCATATCCTGATTTACGGACAAAAATAGTAAAATAAAAGCACTAGGATCACATAGAGCAGGTTCATTTTCAGACTAAAATAAGGAGACGGGGAGAGGAGGACGTTTTTATAATACAAAGACAACTGGAGCCAGAGCCGATGGAGCCGGAAGCACGCCCATGCTCACTTCCTGTGATTAGGTATGTCCATTTATATATACAGTCTATGATTTGCGTGTATTTTAGGGTGTTTGTTTTACCATAAAATAAAAATTAAAACAAGTTCAACGCTGGATAGTGGAATAATCAAGTCATAGCAATAACGTCTCCATGGAAACAAGCAGGTGGCGGACCCCTCACCAGAAAAGTTACATAGAGTTTTTAAGCCAAGTTTACATCTCTATTTGCAAATATCTTTACAATTGTCAGCTTTGTTCTTTGTATTATTTTAGCACATAATGAATGCAGCGTTGATCAGAAATAAAACAGTATCTCCTATAACATTCTCAGGCAGCAGATTTCACTGTAAACTTTATAAATTTCCAAACTCTTCCCTCTTTTGGTTTGTTTGTTTTTTTTAGTTTCCTCAAAACAAAGTCCACAGCTCAATTTGAGAGATTCCAGTTTCGTTTTTTGTGCAGTTTTTGATGTTTTAAATACAAACCAGAGTTCATTCAAGTCTTTAAGTCTCAGTTAAGACCTGGTTTAGTCTTGGTTTAGTCCTGTTTTAGACCTGGTTCGGGTCCAGACTTGATTCATTGTCCCAGCATTCAAAACTTTGTACATTCAGTTGGTGTGGCAACAGGTGTAGAGGTACGAATCCTTTTTCTGACCCAGGTCCACGCCTGTCTCCTCTGTGAAAGGAAGAAGAAAATAAGAAAATTATCAACAATATATATTTTAAAGTGCCCATATTGCACTGTTTTTTGATCTATGTTATAATGTTGTTTCTTCATCACAAACAGACTTGGAGTTTTATGTTATTAGGTTCTTTTTTTATTAGAGTTTGTTTTTATACATGCCAGTTTCGACTGCTCACTCGCAGTCTTCCTCAGAGTCAAGCGATGTTGCCGTGACGTGTTCGCTCAGCTGATTTAAACAGGTTTTGGCGCTGTCTTCCAACCAAAGAAATCAGGACAACAGCGCCATCTGCAGTCCCACTTCCTCAGGACAGTATCCCAGGTGTGAGAGAGTAAAAAAGCCCCCTCGTCCCAGTTTATAGTCCAGTGGGCACATTTCCGTATTTCGATTGCCTCTTTAATCCAGCGACGATGTTTGTTTTCCTCTGTCCCAGTGAGGTTTGCTCTGTCCCAGTCCATAATGTGGTTCTCTCTTTTACGGTGTTCAGAAATGGCCGAAAACCTGTATAAATTAGCTGACCAGACCAAGTGACCACTCAGAGGAAGACCGCGAGTGAGCAGTCAAAACTGTCAGGTATGAAAACAAACTCTTGGTCTGAAAAAAGAACCTAATAACAAAAACTATCAGAAGACCAAATGAACCTTACTGGACTAAACCTGGAGTTTTGTTTTGTTTTGTTTCATTCACACATGTTTAACCCACAAACCCTGTATATTTAGGCTGAGTTCTTCTCTCAAACACACTTCACTTTATTTTAAAATACCATACACGCTATAC